ATCTTATTTAGCTTATAAAGAAAAATAAAGCCTAATTTAATATTCTTTTTTAAAGGTTTATATTAAAGGTAATAGTGTTTATAAAGTAAAGTAGTTATATTTCTAGAGTATAGCTAGTTATATTAAGTGTCCTTTTTTCTTTTATAAGGTCTTAGCTACTAAGGTCTTAGTCTTAAGTACTTATTTTATCTTATAAAGGCTTTTAGTTATATCTTACTTATAAAGTATTAGAGGATTAACCTAGGACACTAAGTAATTACCTAGCTTTTATTTTTACTAGTATTATTAGTAATTAACTTTAAAGATAGCTTATTATCTTTTAGTATTAATCTAGTACTAAATATTAATTTTATTAAGGTATAAAGGTCTTCTATATCTTATATAATAGTAAGTAGTAATAATACTTAGGGTATTAAGAGGCTAAAGAAGACATTAGTTTTTTATATTAAGGTTTACTTTATAGTAAGTAAACTACTAATATCCTAGGATTATATTATAGTAGCCTATATTAAGCTATAAAAAGAGGTTTATATTAAGTAATATTAGTTAATATATATATTAGCTATTTATACTACTTAGATATTATTTAATTATTTACTATTAAATCCTATAGTAAAATAGGCTTAGGTAGTAGGCTATAGAGGTATTATAGAATTTTTTAAGTAAGGTAGTTACTTAAGGGTATATAAAGAAGTAACCTTTTACTCTATATTAAAAAAGTATATAGTTAAATTCTATATTTATTAAAGGCTATTATAAGTTTAGTCTTAAGAGGTCTTCTTTTATAAGGTCTTATAGTTTATTAATATAATAGATAGTCTATAGTCTTCTTATATACTATACTTTAGTAAAAAGTATATTTTACTAAGTATTTAGTTTTTTACTAGCTAGTTAAGATCTTTTTAATAGTCTTTTAATATTAACCTTATTTATAGTAGCCTTTTAGTAGTAAAAGTAGTTATAAATATATAGTTAGTACTACTATAACTAAAATAAGTATTAGATTTTACTAGTATTAGTAAAAGGCTATAAGTATTTAGTTATAGTTAGGTAATAAGTAGTAGTACTAGCCTTTAAAGTATTAGTATAGTAAGTATAAAGTATTACACTAGCTAGGTCTTACTTCTTTAGTATAGCAGTAGTAGTATAAGTTAATAAAGGTTCTATAGTATAAGTAGCTTTTACTATATACTTAGTATACTACTAGTAATTTATACTAGTATTAATATACTACTAAATAATAGTATTCTAGAAGGTAACTAAAAGCTTATTATAAAGTGTTTTTTTTATTAGCTAGTAATAGTTTACTAACTTTAGTATATTTTATAAATTTAGTATACTTAGCTTATATATTCTTAAAGATAACTATAAGTTATTAAGTTTTACTTAGTATTATTAATAACTATAAGCTAATATAAATAGCTTATAGCTTTACTAAGATATCTTTTATAGTAGTAACTATTAAGTTAGCTTTACTAATTAAAAAGTAAATAAAGTTAGTATATATTTTTAACTTAGCTATAAGTATATTTAAAATAGTAGTTATTACTTTAGTAAGTATAATTCTTAAGTTAAGTAGTAATTTAGAAAAGCTAGTACTTAAACTTTAGGTTCTTACTATCTTTTTTATCCTTAATCCTAGTAAAATAAAGACTTTAGAGAGTTTAGTTTCTTATACTAGTAAGTATTATTACTAGCTATTAAGAAAGTAAAAAGTTAGTATATAAGCCTTTAGCTTTAAGCTAGTAACTTACTATTATAGGTCTTTAAAAACTATATAGTCTTAGGTCTTATTAGCTTATTATTACTCTAGGTGTTCTATTTAATTATTTAAAGTAAAGTTAGTTTTTTTACTTTCTAAAGTTTAGTCTTTAGTAAAGTAATTATAAAGATATACTTTTATAGTTAGTAATAAGTTCTTAGTCTTAGTAAATAAAACTTCTTAGTTATTAGTATATACTATAGTAATAAAGCTAAGTTTAAGCTTTAGGTATTACTAAGTAAGTCTTATAGTAAGTTATTAGTATACTTAGTTATAAAGTTAATTAAGTTATAGTAGTAAAGCTTTTTAAATAGCTTTAAGTAAATTTATACTTTTTTTATTAGTAAATAAGCTAATATTTTTAGCTAAAGAAAATAATAATACTATTAACTAAGTTATTAATATATTAGCTATAAGTAGCTTAGTTAGTAAATATAAAGAAGTTTTTAGTATTAATATTTTTAAGAAGTATTAAGGTTAAAAGCTAAGACTTTAGTAAGGTCTTATTCTTTATTTTTATAAAAGTACTATAGTAGTTAGCTAGTAAGACTTTTATAAAAGTAAAGTCTTAGTATTAAAAGTAGTAAGACTACTAGTACTTATAAATTAGGCTATCTTAATAAAGAAAAAAAGGTTAATTAGTAAGTATATTATTAGCTAGTATATAATAGTATTATAAATAAGGTTTAAGGTACTTATTAGTTAAGGCTTAATAGTATAAAAAGATATTATTTTTATTTCTAGAAAATAAAAAAAAGATCTTAGAATAGTATTATAGTAATAATAACTAAGGTTAAATAACTTATAACTATATTACCTAGAATAAAGATTCTAAGATAAAAAGAAAAAGAAAACTATAGTAAGGCCTTCCTCTATAGCTTTGCCTTTAAATCTCTCTATAAACCCTTTCCTAGTTGTATAACCTCTAGTAGTCTATGCCTAGCCCTAGTAGTCTTTATAGCTTATTAGCTACACCTAGTATAGCTATTATAGCCTATAGTCCTAGTTACCTTATAATAATTAGATATACTACTTAGTCTTCTAGATAATAAGAATCTTAAAGCTTAAGTATAAAACCTTAAAGTTAATAAAAGCCTAACTATCTTTTATTACTTACTATATTTAGCTTTATAAGGTAACCTAGATATATACTATTACTTTTAAAAATCTTTTATAGACTAGTATATTAACTAATAAAAATAGACTAAAGCTAATACCTTTAATTATATATATTATTATAGCTTTTTATATTTACTCTCTTAGAAAAGTTAGTTTTAATTATATTAAGGACTTAAATAAGACTAAGTTAATAAAATAGATTTATAGACCTCTTATAATATAAGAGGTTATAAACTTAAATATAATAATATTATTATATTTAGTAAAAGTAAAGAATAGTCTTAAGCTACTAAAGTAACTTAAGTACTACTATAAGTAAAGATTTAAAAGTATATTTTATATAGAATTTATATATTTTTTAAAATACAAGGCTTTTTAAACTAAGTTATAAATATTTAATTATATAATTAATATATAGTATAGATCTTAAAATTATTACAAGGGTTACTTAATATAGTTTCTATTTCTAGTAACTATATACTAAGATATATTAGTAAATATAACTTGTATTTATATTGTATTTTTTACTTAGTACTATATAATATATATTAGTGCCTATACTAAAAATAGATTTCTAAAAACTAGTATAGAAAAGTAGGGCTACTTCCTAAAAAGGAAATAAGAATATTAATATATTAAGGAAAAAAAGCTTAATCTAAAGCTTATTTTACTATATTTTATCTAGCTTATATAAGCCTATATAACTACTAACTCTTTTTTACTACACTATAAAGGTCTTAATACTTATATAGAATCCTTATATTTTTTTTTAGAACTCTAACTATAAGCACTAAACTATTTTTTTTTCTTTTTTTTTCTTTAGGTTCTTTCTTTAGTTCTTAAGTCTAAGAATTAGTTAGACCCTTTACTTAAGGTTAAGATAATAGGTCTAAGGGGATAATTATAATAAGGTTAAGTAGTATAGTCCTAGGAATTATATAGTAGTTAATATAAAGGATAAAATAATAAAAAGGCTACTTACTTATTAAAAAAGGGATTTATAGACCTAAGAAGAAATTAAGAAAGATATAATTATTTATATATAATTACTATTATTAGCCTTAATACTCTATATAGAAATATACTACTAGTTATTACTATACTTTTATTTATTTAGTAAAATTTACTTTTTTTATAATTACTTTATTAATTTATACTTTTATTTTAAGATCTTTATAGATTAGATCTAAGAATTATAAGACCTATCTATTAATATATATATTATTATTATTAGACGTTGTAGTAGTATAAGTAGTTATCTTATATTTTACTATTCCTTTTTTCTTTTATTAGGTAGCCTAGATGCTTTACCTTTTCTTAATATATAAAAGGTTAGTATTACTTTTTAATATATATATAGTAACTTAATATAATTAATCTAGACTAAGAAAGAAAAGTTATTTATGGTAGTATATATATTATATATATAAGGTTAAATAAGGGTACTAACTAAGTGCTAACTAAGTGTACCCCTTTTACTAGCTTATATATTATAGTAAGTAAAGCCTTACTATACTTACTATAGCTCTAGCTTATAATATATATATACTACTGTAAATAACCTTTCTTTTTTAGTCTAGATTAATTATATTAAGTTACTATATACTTATTAAAAGGTAGTATTAACCTTTTATACTTAGGGTAGTATATAGTCTACTTTAATATTATTAAAGTTTTATAATATAGAAATAATATACTCTCTTGTTTTTAGCCTAGTGTAGTATAATTTAAGTTTTTAGTACTTATAGCTAGTACTTAGTCTATAATATTAGTTCTTATTTAAAGTGTTAAATAATATTAGTAAAGCTAATTAGGCCCTTAGTCTTATTCTTTTTATTTAACTACCTATGAGACTTTCTCTTAGTATTTAAATACTTCTTCTTATTAACTTTACTAAATTAGCTATTTAACAAGAGTAACTAAGCAGAGACAGACTATAGAAAAAACTACTTTAGTGTTTATATCTATGTCTCCTAAGGGGAGGAGCCGCTGTGTTAGTAATTATATATCTTAAAACAGCCAGTCAGGTAAGTTATTAACATCTTACTTAAGCAGCTAGAAATAAATAGATTAGGACAAAGAATCCAGGCCCAGCGTCAAACGTGTCCTGGTCCAGCGGATCACTGCCGGCCACAAGACCGCAACCGGCAGCCTGCAGTGCCAGAGCAACAAAGTCGCACAAGATAAACACAATAGTGTAGGTGCACGGCTGGAGACAAGAGTTGAAGGCGCCAAAGACAGTGATGATGCGCGCGAAGCTGAGGTACAGGGCGGCGCTGAGAAAAGCAGGCCCGATGGTGATGGTTACGATGTACCTGGTCGATTCTGGTCAGCCTCGATGTATGCGATGGATCTTCTCCCCGCCGCGGCCGTGGCCACGTCGGAGGGAATTGCAGCAAGCTTACTGTCGGTATCCGTCTTGACCATGGTGTAGTCTTACTCTGGCCACATAGGCGATTATCTCTAGCACGAAGCCCGAGATCATGGCAACGACGAGTCCCCACGCCTTGTAAGGAATGCCGAAATAGAGTTGAGAAAGCGCTGCGGCGGCGTATACGGGAAGGAAGAAAGCGCTCCCGGGCAGGTTATACAGAGCCATCATTTTCTAACTAGTGCAAAACGTGGGAGATGTGATGAAGGTGTGCTTGAGAATTCATTAATGAAGGCTAAAACATAAAAGCGGTCGTAAAAAGGGCATAATACTGGAGAGTGCCATCAGATGAAGGGAAGCCACGGTATAAGTCAGCCCCCCCCTATTTTACGCTCCCCCCTATTTCGCGCATTCTGTTTTAAATACTCTATAAATTAGGGAGTAGCCTTAGTAGAGTAAATAAAGAAGTATAAAATAAAGAAAATTATAAACTATCTTAAAATAATGTTTATATACTTATACTATATATACTTTATAAGTAATTAGAGATTATATAAATATATAAGTTTTACTAGTATAGTAAAATATACTATATATAAGATTATACTATTAGAGCTAGTATTTTTTAAATGATTTTTAAATACTAACTATAAAGTCTTATAGTTTTTTATCTTATAGTACTTATTTAATATAGAAGTCCTAAAAAAGTCCTAAGAAATTTTATTTTTTAAAGATTTATTTTAAGTACTTTTAGATTTTTATACTTATCTATAGAGATATAAAGCTAACTTTAACTAGTAAAAGTGTCTTATTTTTTAAATAAATTTTAAAATTAAGTAGACTCTAAGTTTTATTAGTATATATATAAGAAAAGATAAGTATAGTTTCTTAGTAAATACTATAAAGGTAAATAAATAGTATTATATAATAGTATTTTACTATAAACTTAAAACTTAAAAACGTTATACTTATACTTATACTAAATATCTATTTATATAGAAAGTTATAAGTTATTCTATAAAGAGACAAGATTTATATAAAGGTGTAAAGCACTAGGGTTTAAGTAGAAAAGTACGCAAAATGTAGGGGAGCACAAAATAGAGGGGGGGCTGACTTAAGTGAGGAAGCTGGCTAACAGAGGATAATATTGCAATATACCATATAAGTTACTGCATGTCATTATAGGGGTCTATGCATTTAAGGTCTAAACAGTGTTGGCAGGGGTTGCTACTGGATAATAGACGAAGCGGCCAATCAAAACCCTGATTTCAACGACATACAGCAACGACATTCAGAGATGACACTACAGTCTCAGTCTTAGGTGGCGCGGGATGTGCAGTGTGTGTTGCATTTGTAAACAAAGCCTGATGTGGCAGCATCCTCCCAGTAGTGATTTCATTTCCTTCCGGTGATCCATATCTCCAAGGATAGAGAGAGTCGGACGACCCTGTCCAACAAAGACGTTGACGACAAGCAACACCGCCTCCTCTTGCGCACACTAGTAGCATCCAGCACACTCCATTATGAAACCATGAAACGATTTTCGCAACATAAACGATCAACCAATGGTTGCGGTTTATGCCGGTTCGTCGTTTCCCAAGGTCTTGGTGAAAGAGGAGATAGCTAATCCCAGACTGCTCTACGAAACCAAAGAGTACGACACATCAGGTGCGATGAGTCGCGGCCCAGCTGCAATCAATGTACCAAGACCGGGCGCTCCTGTGACGGCTATCGCCCCAGCGGCAGTAGATTGGCCACCCTGCCCAAGAGGGCTCTGGCCCCTTCGTAAACCCTCAGTCGGGCGTCTCTGTGCTGTTTACCGGTCTAGCTCAGCGTACCGGTATAATGCGTCCTGCATTATTATAGAGTGAATACGGCGAAGCAACTGTCTGGCTACTTGGACGACGAGTTTTTATCTACGTCAGTGCTTCAGGTTGGAGACAGAGACCAGTGCGTCAGTTACGCCTTGGTCGCCCTTGCCTCTCTCCATGAACATTTTAACGCCGAGGCGACTGGGGGGTCCCCTGTGATGGCCATTGACCCCGAGGCCGCATGCCGCCTCTATGCGCCATGCCCTGTGCTACTACAACGAGGCGGCCTGTCGCCTTCACGCGCAAATCTCTGCCAGCGCTGACGGCTAGATCGAGACGACGTTACTCTGCTGTCTCCTCCTCGCCGCCTTCGACCTGCTCCGGGGCTACCACAAGGAGTACCAGGTCCACCTCCACGGCAGCGCAGGCCTTTCCCAGACGGGGCATCATAGGCAAAACGGCAGCCGTGACGGTTCCTTATGGTCGCCCCGGGGCTACTTCATCCGCGATAATCTGAGCCCCTTGTTCTATCGCAGGGTGTTACAGACTAGCCTGTTTGGCCACATACAGCCAACGTCTTAGTCGTCGTCGAAACACGGATGCGAGGCCGCCGCGTTGGTGGCCTTCACCAGCGACACCTACGACAGCAACAAGAAAAGGATCACTTACGATGATGCTGGAATGCGCATCGCCAGCCCGACAGAGGCCCGCGACACGCTGTACCGGCTGATCAGGCATTTGTACCTGTTGCCCGAGGGCAGATACCATCTCCTCGAGGGCGCCCAAACAAAGCGGTCGAGGGCCAAGGGTCAGGACAACTTCATCAGAGGCCTGTACCAGTGGCAAGACACTCTCTTCGAGTACCTCGAGAGGCAGTCCGCCGGCGGCGCGAGCTCCACCATGCTGAAGCTGCTTTACGCAGCGGCGCACGTCATCATCCCTACCTCCACGTCGAAAGACCAGATGGCCTTCGACAACTTTGCCACGCAGCTCCGCGAGATGACGGACCTGGCCGAGGCGTTGCTGTTCCCACCCTCGCCCCAGCCTCCGCCGCCGGCGCGCCACGACGTCCCGTGCTTCTTCTCTCTGGACATGGGCGTGCTGCATCTGATGACCGCCCTCACGCGGCACCGGATGCTCGCGCTGCTGCGGCGTGCCCAGGCTCGACACGAGGGCGTGTGGGACGGCGCGGCGACGGCGCTGGTGGTCGAGCGCGTCGTCGACCTTGAGGAGCAGGCGGCGCGGCGGCAGGGCGCCCAGACTGGGGCAGACGACGACGGCAGCGGCGGCTGCGACAGCTTCTCCATCCCGGCGTCGGCGCGCGTGTGTTCGGTCAGGACCAAGACCGATCTGGAAAACCGCAAGGTTGTATTGTGGTGTGGGCGACAGGGGGATACGTGGTTCAGTGAGAAGATGTTAACATGGTGATCAGTCTAGGCAAGGTAATTAGCAACTCATTGTGGCCCCGTGATAGCTAGCACATATTGTCTCACAATCTGGCTGAGAAGCATTAGAAATGGAGCTGGAGTGTAGCCCTTTGTCGTCATCATTCAAAAGGTATACTGTTCACACAATATGAGCCACGGGAGAGATCGAGCGTTCTCGCTTCCCTGAACAAAATTACATAGAAAAAGGGGTATGGATGCTACGTGGTGCCGTGGAGACGCATCGCGACGCGTTCTGCGCGTGAGGATATCGAGGAGGCTTTGCGCGGTGGCGCGGTGGCGCGGTTGAACGCTTCTGGGAGTGGTGCGACGTAAAGACACGAGGGGCAATCAAGATAGGAGCGTCAGCCTTGTTCACAACTCAAGAGCGTTGATGATGACAAAACTCGAGTGGGTTTGATCACGGCCTTTTGCACGACTCCTGGCTGAGTTTACAAGTCTATCTGTCAGAATAGGGGGTCTTAATTCAGTATATGTTGCTACAGCGCCGATGTTCTTCCTTCTCATTTCTGCCGCCGCCGCTGCTGCTGCTGCTGCTGTAGTTGTGGCTGCGGTTGTTGTCGTAGAGCGGTCTTCTCCGCTAGCATCTCGTGCGTGCTCTTGGCCTCCAACTCAGTGTTGAGGTGGTATGCTTTAATGAAAAGACCCGCGATAAGTGATAGCCCTGCAAAGGCGGTATACTAAGAGACGGCGGTTTTGATTGGAAAGTAGACAACAACATCCGGGCATTGTCGCGCGGCTTGCCACGATCCACATGTCCCTGAGCGAATTGGAAATGGTGTTTCGCACAACCCTCTGCTGGCTGCTGGTGAGTTGGGCGATGACGTCCAGATTGGCCAGAATCTCCGGGCCGGCCAGCTCCGCCGCGAGCCAAAAAGCTTCTACGATAAAGAAGGACTACCCTACAGACGTACAGGATACTATTGGTCACTGTAGGTCTAGTGCATCTAGCTTGGGAAGTATAAGGGGGTACCTTAGGCATCTTGCCAGCAGCGGCACAGTCTAGCTTCTGGACCCACACGTGAGACAGGTTTGCGGGGTTTGCCGAGGCTGCCGGGAAGCCTGCAACTACCGGTAGTGCCAGCACAAGAGGACCCACAAGTCACCGAGACCGGTCGACGGAGCCGAAGCCGAAGTGGAGATCCAACCGGCCGGAAAAGGAACCCACTGACACCCGGGTGACAAAAAGGATGGCCGGTTGCCGTGTCGTAGTGGTAAGGAAAAGCGGCCATATTTTTTGTCACCCGGGTGTGCCACTCCGTATCCGGCCCCTGGAGGTTTTCCATGGCGACTCTCTCATCAACGCTAAGCCCCTGGGCCGATCGGAGGGTGGATATTCTCCAACGTTGTTTCTCCTGGCAATGTCGACAAAGAACGCGACCCCCCCTTTGGCCCGTCTTGAGAAATATCATTTTCTCTAACGGAACGCATGGCACGTGGCCAACTCGCTGCCAGCCAGATCGAGACGGCAACCCCCCGATCGAGCAACTCCACCGGTCTTAAGACCATCGGCGGGCGGGCGCTTGACCCCCTTGGGTGATGACCAAAAGACAAAGGCCAGCGCCAAGGTCTAAGGCACGCCCAAGTACCGGCATACTAGTGTGTCTCTAGTTCCTGCGACGGGCTGCATGTAGATTGCCTCCCACAGCGCCGTAAGCGATGCGCCCCAGAAGCAAGCGCGTCGGCATGCAAGTCCCGTCGGGTGCCCGCCATGATCCGTCGAAGACGTAGTGTAATCAACACAACACGGACTACGACAGGAGAAGGAAATTGGACTCAATTTGCCGGATTGCGACGGCTTCAGACGTGCGAGGCAGATGAGCCGTGTGGCTGCAGCTGCAGCTGGTTGGGCAACGTACCAACCACCCCCCCTTCTTTAGAGATTGGAATGACGTCACACTCACACACCTCCCCGTCTAATGAGATTCTTGGACGACGACATTCGAGAAATCTTTTCCTGTCGCTTGGATCGCCGGACCAAGGATGGGGAGAGCGTTCAGCCACACAGGTTGCGCTGCGCTGTCCGCGTGGACAGGTATTGGGTTGATCGAGATGAGTCTAGAACCGGTTGAGCCACAGCTGTCGCCACAGACGTCGTAAGCGATTGTGCCTTTTTCTCCGCAAGTCGCAAATATCATGCCGCCAATTTTGTACTCTGTAGTTGCTGCGCAAGGATTACTTCACTCAACCAGGTCGACAACGAGTGGTTTTCCGATCAGGTCACCCGGGAGTGCCACTTTACGCTGCCCGTCAAGCCGGCGCATTGGCTTTTACAGCATCATGTAATTTCCCCACAGGCCGTCTCACGGAACAAACAATAAGTCCGAAACTGCCGTCGCAATAAACAGTTCGAGAAAGGGGTAGGTTGCACTGTAGGTATGTGTTTGCCGTCCCCCCTTGCAAGGATCGCAAGACATCGCGGCCCCGCAAAGGCTTGTTTCACACCTCAAGACCTAGGATGGATGGCAAGCGCCGTCCTTTTTTGGAGCTATGCTAGCCCACCAATGTTTCTCATCTGGCCATCACTTCCCCGACGGATGACCTCATGTGGAGGGGAGCTATAGGCCCGGACAAGCAGAAAAGAAGAACAGACAAGCTCTCGGCAGCGTGCCACGAAGCCGACCTGGTGACGTTGAGCCAACCAGCCCTAGTCCCCCCCCCTCCTCCTTTCCTTCACGGCCTAGGTGCCGAAAAGAAAGAAAAGAGATAGGTATGTGCTTGGCAGGGTATCTGCGCTGTGTAGCCGATCTGCAGCAAGCCGCACTTCGGGACTCGGACGTCGTCGCATTAGTTCTTGGATGATGGTTCTTTCTGGTCTGTTCCGAGCCGGGTTTTCCTGCCATGCCCAGCGCTTTAGTCACAAAGCATCACTGAGACCAGCGGTCCAGATGCGCCTGCTGTGCTCGGCGGTGACGGCGTGACGATGAGGTTTGCAAGCCGGGCTGCTACCCACCCAAACCTGCTTTCCCGCCTGATCGTCATCCTGATGCGACTCGGTAGTGTGGCTGGTGTTGGACACAACTTGTCATTACCCCCCGAAAGTTAATAAATAGAGATAACCTCGTTGCCGTCCCCTGGCTATTTTTGTTCTCCATCCCTCAGCCGAGCAACAAATCAGCAGACTTTCCAGTGCGACAGCCCGTCATCTCAACCCTTCCTAAACTCAACCCCAAGTTTGTAACGACACACTCACACACAAACACCAATCACAATGGCTCTCGACCGTGTTGTGCAGTTCATCCTCCGCGGTGCCCAGCTGGTGTTCGCCGCCATCGTCGCCGGTATTACCGGCGCCTACCTACACGCATCTCACGCCTCGGACTGGGACAATGGCCGCTTCATCTACACCATCGTGGTGGCCAGCTTGTCGCTGCTGTTCGCCCTGATCTGGCTGTTCCCCTTCTCGGGCAGCTTCATCCACTGGCCCACGGACATCTTCCTCAGCATCCTTTGGTTCGTTGCCTTTGGCCTGCTTGTTAACGTAAGTCACCTCCCACAGCCCTCTCATCTGTTATGCGGTCCCCGCGCGTGCTGACTGACGCCCCTTCCCAGCTCATCGGCGATGGCTGCGGCCCCATCTTCAATTGGAGCAATGTTAACCCCCGCGGTGATGCGTGCGGTCGCAACAAGGCCAACATCGCCTTCTGCTTCCTGTCCGCCATCGTCTGGCTCGCGGCCGCCCTTGTCGGCCTCTTCTGGGTCCGTCGCCACACTGCCGTTGCCGACAACCGCCCTGTCCACCACGGCCGCCGTCGCTGGTACCGCTCTTCTCGCGTCTAAGCGGCGCGCACGCGGTCCATCTCCGGTAACTATCTGCACGATCCACACTGGTGGTCACATTTACATATGCGGAATGAGATGATGGGCAAATAACAACAGCCACGTTCTTCTCTTAATAAGCCGCGCCGCCGTCCTCGACGGAACGGGGACGTGTGTCATGGAGGAGTTGAATGGATCGTTTTGTGTTTGGATGCCCCTCTGCGTTAATGACAGTACGAGAATGGCCTGAAGCTTCACTGGAACACTTGATACCCGATAATACCCAACTTTTGTATCATAGCACCTACCCTAATATCACATCGTCCCACCCGATTCTTATTTAATTCGTGACTAATGATATTTTATACCTACGGCGACAACTAAAATGGCCCAATTGTAACCGTGAGCGCGCCACCATGCAGCGCACTCCACGTAACAAACCCAAGTAAAACATGTTGGAACTCTTGAAAATCAACCGTTGTATCCTTTTTGATCGCACGAGGAGGGGGGAACTTTGACGTTATTTTGAATACAGAGTCTACAAAGACGGCTGAATGGGGGGGACCAATCACATGAGCCACCGTCAAGACAGACGAACGTCGTACAACCCAATAACCTTGACCATCCAAGCAAAACGCACCGAATGTAGCCCCGCAGAACTCACTCGCCAGCAGACCGCCGAAGGCTCGCGCAGGGGGCGGGGGGGGGGAACGGGTTCCGCCCGCCTTCTGGACGATCCGGGGAAAGCGGGTCTCTCGCCGGGGGGACGCAGCCCTGGAGAAAGCTCCGGCTGCAGGCCGCGAAGTTTCGGGATGTGCGGTCCACTTCCACGAGAAGTTTGGCCATCGCCTCTCCTCGCTGAATAGGTAGCGCCCACAAAGACCGTGCTTCGCAATGAAATCTCAACAAAGTTAGCCACGGCGGAAAACAGGAGGTGGCGATGATAGGCTCTCGGTGCCTACGCTAAGAGTCGTTGGCGTTTTGGCCTATCTTTCTTTCCTTCTTACATCCCCCTAATTCCCCCCTAGTCTCTTGTCTGATCCCATTGCAAAACTTGTTGCAACTGCGCAACGCCAATAAGCGCTTTTGCTGTTTCTTCTGTCCAGCCAGTCCGACATGTCGACACGCCTCAGCTTCTGAACTGAAAGGGGACCGCAATGGAGGGGGCCGGGGGCCTTGAGCAAACGTCAACATGACCATTGCCATGTCCAATGTGTATTGTCTGGACAGACAAGCACACTCTATTGCTAGTCGATATGGAAAGCAAGCTGAACCACTCAAAAGACTGGCAATTCTCATCCAATATGGTCGTTTTGAGGGACAGTCCAGGACGACGGTACCTGTGCGTGAAAAGCAGTACAAGATGCGCTACGTCGTGCAGAAGAACAGGAAACAAGTGTTACTCGAGACCAAGAGAACAAAGTCACCTTCACCTGCCAGAAGTGACCACTTGACCACGGCAAAGTCTGCGCTGCTCAACGATCAGCCGGGCCGACTGGGCTGTTATCGGGAGGTGGCGAGAGGCATGGGACTGGCGATCACGGCCGCTCGGGCCCGAGACATGTATCAACTTCATTAATGACGTAGGTGCATGCGGGAACCGCCGGCGGGAAAAGACAGCCCCGGCAAGGTCAGAAAACCAGGGAAAGCGTCGCCGTTTCTACGGGGACCGAAAGACGGACGGGGGGGGAAAGCGTGGCAAGCGAGATGAGAGAAAGCGGGCACAAACCGAAACCCAAAACCAACCAGACAAAGCTCGCCAGCAAACAGAGTCCTCCTGCATGGTGTTGACCGCCTCCCCGCCTCCCCTGGGCCGCGCCCTCTCGTATCGGTGCCGCCATGCCGTTCCGAAAACAGTCTTGTGCTCCGCGACCGAGTCCCGTGACTGCATCCCTCGAGCTCGCTTTCGCAGTTCTGGACCGCTCCAGACCGCGACCGTGAGCGCGTCTCGGAACGGGCTGCATGGCTTGAGGGAGCGGTTTTCTTTTTACCCCATATTATTCCTGCCTCATCTCGAAAGTACCCTACCCTCTCCGTGGGCGGGGGTTTTGGAACGGGCTAGGCCGGAAAGGACTGGGGGGGGCATTGTATCATTTGCGCCGGCAATTACGTACACTAGGGTCCCGCGTGAGAAGCTTGCTTCGCTGGCCAACAAATACGAGATGGCTTTAGAATTCCACGATGCGCGATCCAAGATGCCACAATACTCGGGGCTTGCAGACTTTCGGGCTGAGAAGGGGACGACAGATGTCCCAGGCCGTTTCCAAGCTACTGCGGCGCATTCCCCCTCCTAGGCCCGCCCTGCGTCTGGACTAGACGCCGGCAGGCTGCCGCCCCCCTCCTCCCCTGGCCGCCAGGTTTTCTTTCTCGTTTGTGTGGCCCTCCTGACACGGCTGCACTCGAAGGGAAAAAAACCCCCCCGAGTGACTAGCGGAGTCGGTTCGGGCGCGATGTGCGGCAAAATGGCGTGCTTCGTTAGCTTTGGCGGCAAAAATAAGCAGCATGTCGCACGCATAGAGATATGCCCAAGGCTGCGCGGGAGAGGAACATGTGTGGATGGATAGATGGCTGTAAGGAACAGTTGGCGGTGCATCAGTCATCAATCATAGGGGGAGGTGTTTGAGGATGGGAATTAAGCAGATTTCCCTTCACAATGACCCGATTCCGGCGGCGATCTTTCCCGTATGGAAGACGGGGCATATTTCTGGCATCTCAAGCTCTGAAAGGGCGCCCGATGCTGCATCACCGTCGCCCCGATGAGAGCCGCATGGCGTAATGCCCCGCAATGCTGCGTCGAGGCGGGGGGTCGTGGATGAGGCAAAACAAGGCCAGAGCAGGTTACGGTACAGCTAGCGCCACGTTCCAACGAGCTTAGGTAGGCCTACTACCGGTAGTGTACCGGTAGGTGTGTACCGGTACAGTAATAGTAGCGTACCTAGCTGAAGGGGGAGCTGGTGGATGTGATGGAACGATGACCGCATTCTGTGGGGTAGGTGACGCCACACCTTCTTACGTCAGCCATACCATGCTTGCTTGTTGTGGTTCCCCTCCACCCAAGCCACAGCTCGATCGGCTCCTTATCGACAGCCAATGATGTAGCTTGCGCCACACGCGGGGTGGGTTGGCCCAGAGGAGCTTCGGTGCTGCGTCATTGGCGAATTTTCATCTTGTCTTGTTTGACATCCACTGCCTTGGTTCCGTGGGACCTTTTGGCGGAGCACAGCGAGCGGTTCGCCAGCCTCAACCCTCGATCCATGTTGCCCCGTCACCCAAAAGAAACCTTTCCCAGGCTGACCTTTTTCCATGCCATGCCATCCCATCCCATGTCATGCTCCTGCTGAACCTCATCCCAGCAAACCCTAAGGGACGAGGGATTGCGAGGCGAAAGAGAAAAGGGTGGCCTCTGGGGGACGGGAAGAAGCTTGGGTCACGCGTTTGCCCGCGGCCTCGGATTGCATCTTTTGCATGTCTTACAGCCTCTACGAGAGCAGGTAAACGCCATGAGACAACGACGCGCGGCAACCGGCACGCCATTCCTTTCTGATGAAGTGTCTCCAACGCCGCCGCACTTAGTGTACAGGTGCTTGCCCCGATCGGGGTGGCGGAGCGGGACAAAAGACAAACAGGGGAGGCCAGGTATCATCACGTCGCTCCGAAGCCCATTCCATCCTCCCATCCCCCCCCCCCCCCTGTTCCCCTTGTAACCCCCACCACGTATGGTAGCGCGTGCCTGAGCGGGTAGCCCAGCTTGCTCCAGGCTGAGCCAAAATTAACCAGTCTACACAGTCTCCATCACCCCCCAGGTTCGCCACGTTTGATGCCCATCCCACAGCCCTAGGACGTCACTAGCCACAGATCTTCATCGCTCTTCAACCACCGTCACCCGCCGCTTTTCCCAATAATGACGACAAACCCTCGCCGTATTACGTCCCGTCCTGCCTTTGGGAACCATCCTGTCGCCCAAGACCCTGAGCACCCGCATATCCTCTTACCCCATGTCATCACGCAAAAACATGAGATCCAGATCAGAAGAGGCAGCCAGGGAAAAAAAAAAGGCTTGACGGAAACAAGCCAAGCGTCACGCCAGACAAAGGTCCTGCCTGGGTCGTCATCCGACCATGGCAAACTGGGTCTGGACCGTCCCCCTTCCCATTGGCCATGGGGCCCCCGGCAGCGAGCGGAGCAGGCGTGTCGGCGTACCGACCACACCTCGCTCCGACTGGTTGGCAGTTGTAGCTTGTATCCCGAGTGAGACGACCTGCGTCCAAGACCTATGACGACGTGCGGACGTAAGTGCGCAAACGACCTTAGGTACTCTTTTCCTCCTCACGCTACCTAGGCATGCCGTCTTTCCTCCAGGCCCATGCCGCCACGCGGTGAATAGGCATTGGCGTTGGACTGGCCCAGGCGGGCGGGCATGGTGGTGCAAATTCCTTGATTATTGTCAGTCACAGCGTCGACAGCCCAGCCGACCTGGCCTGCAAGGGGGAGGAGGGGGCGCTTTGCTGGATCGCGATTGCAATACTCCTCTCACCTGCCGTCGACCAAGAATGGCTGGGAGGGGGGATTCGCGCGCTTCTGGATGCCTTCCCATTTCTATATAACCGCCTCAACCTCCCACCCTCTGAGCCTTTCCTTTCTCCTCTCATCATCATAACACAAGATACCCAAAACAAAGCAACCAACCAACCACACAACCACCCCTTTCCCAATACACCCACATTTGAATTCCATTTGATACCCGCACCGCGAACATCAGCCCAGCATGTCTTCCATCGTCAACAAGGTCAAGGACGCTCTCCACTCCGACAAGAAGCACGAGCAGCCCGAGGGCACCTCCGGCCCCCACGGCAGCCGCGCCGCCAACGCCGCCGACCCTCGCATCGATTCTGACCGCGACCACCGCGCCAACCCTGCCGGCACCACTGGCACCCACACCGGTACCCACACCGGCACCACTGGCTCCGGCTTGACAGGCAGCCACGGTACCACCGGCTCCGGCCTCACCGGTAGCCACGGCACAACCGGCACCACCTGCTACAACGACCCCGATGGTGTCCACGGCCCCCACGGCGGACGCGTTGCCAACAAGGTCGACCCTCGCGTCGACTCTGACCGTGACCACCGCGGTGCCCCCGGCTCCGGCCTGACTGGCAGCCACGGCACCACTGGTTCCGGTTTGACCGGCTCTCACGGCACCACCGGCTCCGGTCTCACTGGTAGCCACGGCACCACCGGTACCCACACCGGCACAACTGGCTCCGGCTTGACCGGCAGCCACGGCACCACCGGCTCCGGCCTTACTGGTAGCCACGGCACCACCGGTACCCACAACACTCACGGCAATTCCAGCTTGACCGGCAACCCCAACACGGGCGCCACCGGCGGCGTCTCCAACACCCACAACGCCGCTGGCCACGTCGGCTCCGCCGTTTCCGGCACCCACGGCACCGGCCCCGCCCCCAACACCGCCGGACCCCACAAGTCCGACGCCATGAACAAGGTCGACCCCCGCGTCGACTCGGACCTCGACGGCTCCAAGACCGTCGGCGGCAACAAGACCTACGCCCAGTAAGCGAAGACCACACCTGCGAGCGCAAGCCGATTTCCCGAAACCGTCGGGGGAGAAGGGGGAGGGGCGGGAGCCGAGAGGCACACAAAAAGCATTACAAGGGACTGACGAGCAACCTCAGGGATACCACCTCGGGTGTTGCCAAGGACCCTACCGACGCGGCTCAGGTCCCCCCCTCCGTCTTGGCCCAGCACATTGGCGAGCCCCAGATCGCCCACGGGGATCACGGTCACGGACGCGCGAGGCGCAACAGCAAGGTGTCTCACCAGGAGACGCATCGCGGATTGTAAAATTTGGAGGATCGGTTTTTGATGAAGAGAAGACGAGCGATACGGTGGATTGGTGGGAATTGATACCTAGTTTAGTGCTTGTAACATAGCCTGATATGACCTAATGATATTAGCATCGTCAAAACAAGTTGCCAACCATGTTCTTCTAAAAGCATTCTGAATGTTGACTGTGTACAAAGAACTTTGTGGTATCAAGATTGCACTGAGTAGCGGTATCTTTTAGTTGCGTCCAAATATATGGAAAGACGTCCAAGTATATGGAAAGACCCTCCAAAAAACAACAATTATAATAAAAAAATGATTGATATATAAATCGTTCGTGAACAGTCTGCTGCAGTTTATCCGACACATGTGCAATATCACGGTACGTAAAACCCGATACGGGACACCTCTGACCTGTGTCAGATCTCAATATCTTAATAAGGTATAGCATACCCAATAACGCAAGGCAACTGCTGAATCTGACTTCACCTCAGCGGGGCAGAAAGAAAGAAAAAGAACACAGAAGACGGCCAAGAATTAAAGTTGCGTGGAACGTTGAAAACACAATTTATAGCCAGGGGGTAACAACAGCGCAATAACCACCCCCCGCCTAGTATACTCGCCCAAGTAGGTATTTATTTAATCAAGGTATGGCAGTACCAACATGTCTCAGAGTGGCAACCTCCATGGTGTGGCTAGCAATAGATTGCTAGCCTCTGCCGGAGCTTTTGGCGACAATGGTCTAATTGGTCAGGGCCTGGTTGGCAGAAGGATATTCTGTCAGCGTCTGTTACACAACACTTGTTATAATCCGCACTATTGAACCAGTTGACATCCCCCCCCCCCCCCCCCCTCTCCACCTCTATCTATATCCGTCCGTTTTTACCCAACGACATCTTTTCTTGTAACGCCGTTTATGTAAACTACCAATCGCCGAGCCTTCCCGCCAATGTTCCCGTCGCTTCGAAGCGTCCCAGGAACGGCCCTCCTAGACAGTCGTCACCTTGGGCCTCGTAAGAGCTAAAGCCAAAGAGGCAGATATCCCACCCTCCTCCTTCTCAACAGAAAAAACACACCCCCCCTCAACGGCCCCTCATGATGCGCTTTCCGTTGGGCGGTCCTGCTTCGCTTGCACGATGGGTAATACCGAGCCCCGCATGGTCGCAATAACGAAGCCGCTGTAGAGGTTGTCCATTCTGCAGGACGCACGCGACGTGCCACAAGGACGTTCCTCCTTACCCACAACGGCAGCCCAGGCCGGCGAGGCGCCCTCCCTTTCCCCTGTCCGTTTTGTGTGACCGATACTTTGCAGTCTCGCGTGTGTCCTCTGCTGGCGGGAGGCACACGCCCCCCCCCTCTCCCCAGACCGTCTTTCGTCATAAGTCGCCGTACCAATGGAACATCGTCCTTTGTTAGTTTCGCAAGATAGCGCGTGTGGCTCTCATTTGTCGAACATCCTCTTCGTCAACCAAGGTTTGAGCCCCTTTCCCAAGTCGTGGCGCATTGGTAAGTTAAATGCCCTTCCCTCCTCTCCGGCGAACGGCAATCGCCCGGCTATACCGGACCATTGTCTCCGGCACATCACCCGCCGCATTCCCGCGACAAGGCACCACCCCTCTTCCTCAGGCGGCTCCCACGGGTAAGCAAGGTTTCCGGCGCGTTGGACAGGCGAGGAGGCAGACACATGTAATACCGTTGACGACGCGGGACCGGCATACGGTCCCTGGATCTTTCTCTTACTATCCCGGCGCAATACCGCAAGGATGACGGGACCTCAGGTCTCAGTTGTGCGCATCCAGCCAGTTCGTATCCACCCCCCCGCGCGCCGGTCCTTCCCATCTCGAGAGGGAAAACATTGCGATGCATTACTCATCTCTCGCATCCGAAGCCTCGGCATGTCGTGTAAAAATTAAAGTAAAAGTCGGAAGATGTCAAGTAGTCGTTCGTAGATGATATCGCCCCGATGTTTGCGTGAGAGTTGGGCGATATGCAGTTCGGCCAACTACACTCTCCTCAGATGTTGAACAATCCCGGTCCGGACGATCACAGACGAGACGGCGGCTGCAGCTCACCCAATTCGACCATGGAGAACGGAATCGAGCGGTTTATCAAACCTCTCTGCTTCTCGGTGCCTGTTTTTGGAACCTCGGACGCCGATTTGGGGAGGGTGGGTTAGCTTTTCTTGCTTCTTTTTCTTTATCGATAGATAAGACCCCCCACGGTCGCAGTGCATCGCAGTGCCTTGTCTTGCCTTACGCGCGAAAGCAGAAACCGACTGACGCAGAGAATTCGATATGCTGTGTACCGAATGACTTTTCTCGTCAGCAGACAATCCGTGCTGTTTTTTCTTTTTGTTTCCTTTTTTTGTCCTTGGGTGGAGGGGCAGACGGGGGCGGCGTCCACTAGCTTCCCATTGCCCATACTCCGTACACATTCGCACATAATGATTGAGGAGGATGGATGGATGGATGTGTGTGTGTGTGTGTGTGTGTGTGTCATCGATGGCGACCGCGGCCTTGGCGGCTCAGAATCGTAAACAAGCTGACAGCTAGCTGCCCACTTTCCGTAAAACGAAAGTGGGCTTCGAGACGTACCTAGTGATGCGTTGGACAAAGAGGTGTGTGGCCATCACCCACCACTGCCTGGCGCGTCCACATCGCCCGTCACCCCAATCTCCCCAGCTGGAGATGCTGCTTTTGATACCATAGGGTGGCGGCGTCTGCAAAGCGACCCTTACTGCGTAAAATGGGTTGGTGACACGTCTTCACCTCCTGGCGAAGATCCCGCTTCGGATACGAGGGTGACAGAGCCGACGCAGCGAATTGACGGGCAGGAGCATGGTAAGCAGGCACACTTATAGTCATCAGACGCCGGTGATTGGACGGCAGGCTTGTCACCGGCTCTCGAGATACCTACAAGTAGAATAGTCCGCATATTTGGGTTGTGAAGGAGGCGTCGTTGTGACTGACGCCTTGCGGCCTTATCCTGGGCACTTTGAGGCGAGAGGACATGATCGTTGCCCTCTGCTTAGGGAGCCGAGCTGGAAGATCCAGTGCCATGGGATTGTGGTCTTAGCCCGTCCCCCATCCGAAGGCATGGGGGGCCTATATGAGTAGTGTGGATTTCGTGGGAAACGGACTTGTCTCGGTTGGAAGGAATCGCCCCTCTACACGGCCAACGGGATACATGGGCACGGCGAGGGTGTGAGCTAGGCAAAGGCTGGCGGTAGTGGTCGATGCAGGGCGGAACGCGGGAGGGGAAGAAAGAGGGTTCAGACCAAGCACCGAAGGGACGGGCACCGAATTGCGGCAAGGCACGGGAAGACCATCCTATGTTGGGGAGTACCGGTAGGTCGAGGAGGGTACGGCATCTGCCCAAGGAGCTCTAAAGTCCGAATCTGCAGGGAAAATCAATTTGGATGCCATACCTACTACGATGTGCAGAATTTTGCCATCATGCGACCATCGTGGAAAACAAAAAAGACGGCGAATGTGATGGGAAAGTGATGAACCGAGGTTGTCAGGGGGGCTTGCCATGGAATCCAAAAGGGGGGGGGGGGGGGCGTGTGAGCAAGGCATTGAGGTTGACGATCGAGAGCTTCAAGTCCGCAAAACGCCGGTGGTTTGTTGGCCATGCAGGCAACGGGCGACCGGGGGGGGGGAGGTAGGTATTGTCACTCCGAGTCACTCGACTTGAAAGGTACTTTGGGATGGCTGGCAAAAGAGCTCGAGGCAGCAGACGGCGTATTTGTAGTGGTAGACGCAAGGAAGATTGGCGCGCATGTGCTGTGCGCGCTGTGCAGCGCAGCCATCTCGTTTGAGTGATTTTGTCAGGAATGACAAGTGACTGGAGAAGAGGGCGTGTCTTGTGGGCCGGCGGTGGGTAGGCATGGCATGGCATGCCAGATATACTATACCGCCTCTGCTATATCCGTGCGCCAGCCTGCAACTAAACTAGTGTAGTTGCACGGCAGAAGAAGAAAAGAAAGGGCTGGCCAAGGAACCCCGCGAACAGAAATCCTCCTTGGGACAGGTGATGTGCCTAAGCACCAGAGCAACATCGACAGGGGGCCGTTTGCTACTGCGATTTTCTTGCTTGGGAAACTGACAGCTCACGCACATGGCCGATTAGTGAACTGCGCCGAGACGGCGGAAGGTGCTAGTGTTGAATCTCCTTCGTATGGACAAATGAGCAAACAGGATCCAGTGCATTCGGTGGTCACTGGACCTGATGCCCATCCGGACCCCTTGGCTGTTTGGCCTTTTTGGATTCGAGGTAGGATGCAAGATTCTGCGGCGACAAACCCTCTCTGGCGCAGAGGGTGAGGGAATCCTTGCGCACGCGGCGAACGCTTGGTCATGCATCATGAACCTTGCGGCGCAACGGCTCGCTTGGATTTCTTTTTTTCTTTTTTTTCCCCTTTCGATCCGTGAAGGTGCTTGCCACACGTGTGGTATCAAGGTGTCGACGACCCGTGAGTGGGGTAAGGAAGCATGCGGGGGGTGGGCGTTTTGTTTGCTTTCTTTTCCTAATTGTCGTATCGAGCGGGTTGGAGTGGTGTAGCAAGGTGAAAGAAGGCGTATGAGGGGCGGGCCTCAGTACTTGCTTCGGTCTTGTCGACGCAGCGTCGGTGATGTTGTAAAAACAGGCGAATCTTGCGATGCTATGGCCCATCGAGCTTGCAACCATCCACGGCCATTACCGCAGGGAGAGAGACCCGCAGATAGCGTCGACTGCCAAGGCGGGGCGAGTATCGCTGACAGGCCTCGCTGTCATCCCATCTCGCCGAACAACAAGCGTCGAGAGACAGAGACGAGGGTTGTTGTCTCGGGATGAGTCGTCGATGGTGGAAGTCGCAGTCGCAGTCGCAGCCGCAGCCGCCCGCAGTGGGACTGGATTGGATTTGGCAGCTTCAGCTCAGCTCGGCTCGAACGCCTTCCGTCTACCTACCTACTCGTACTAAGTAAAGGTAAGGGATTGTAGACGTTACCTTAGTAAGCAGGTAGGTAGGTAGGTGAGGGAGGAGCCGCTGTCAGATGCACAAGGAAACCCACCCTCCCCCGGGGCTACCGCAGGTGCTAGGGGAAGGTCCTTTCTGAAAGCAAAGCTGAAGGCAAGCAGGCAGGTAGGAGGTAGGGGAGGGGTGTGTGGCTTGGGTAGTCACACACGATTACGTAATCATGATAGCGACCTAGTGAAGTGGGGCACTGCTTCGGCCACGGGCTGGGAAGGAGCGCCCCCCTTCCCCCCCCCCCACTGTTGCCCTTCCGTATCCGTTCCCGAACCACCTCACTCCTCTGCCCGGCGCAACTGCAACGTCAGTCGCGGACCCGGTCCACACCGCAGCGCAACTTCCCTGGCCTGCCAACTGTGTACCTGCTTGAGGGACTGAGAGAGACGACCTCACTGCGATCCACGATGACTAAGGACCTTCCTTGATCGCCCTCGCCATAGCTTCATCTCACCCTCTTCTCAGCCGACCGTACGTGTGCTGTTCTCGACCTGCCCCGTCTATTGTCACACCCGTCTCCACAGCCTCTCCCCCATACGACGACACGCAAACTCCGATCTGTAAGCCCTGCGCTTAATTACCACCATCGCCCGGCCACCACCTACCATGGCCTCCATCCCCCAGGCCCTCTGGTCCGCCCAGATCCCCCTCCACATCGTCCACCCCTCGCACCCCAACACGCCGCTGGTTACCTCGCTGCCGCGCTTTTCCTACCTCGCCTTGCTGGTTCCGCGCTGCTCCGCCTTCTTCCGCGCCCCCGTCTCCGCCTTCCACCACGAGCAACTTCTCCTCCGGAATCTGCCCCTCGGTCTGCTCGTCGATCTCTACCAGCCTTCCCTGCCCTGGCGCCTCACTGTCAGCGATGGCGACAGCTGGGACATTGGAGACACCTTTCTAAACTGTGTCAAGGAGGTGAGCCTTTCCTTGTCTCTCATCTCCTTCCCCAGCCTCTCGTTGTCTCTCCATCCCTTTCGTGTCTCAAATAGAGCCCACCCAATACCTAAGCTACTGTACAAGCGAGCCCGCCATTTCCCTCTGTCAAATGTCTTTTGTCCCAGCAGTTTATGAGGAGAAACCTCCACTCATACATCACTTTCACATTGTCCATTCATTCCCGCTACGGCCTCACCTTGAAGAACAGGCCCACTGTTAGCTGCCCGCCCCCCGCCCCCCATTCCCATTCTACCTCGCTTCGCCGTGAAGGATCATCAAAACCAAACCCGAGACCGAACCAGTCCACCTGACCTCCCCCTCCCCCCAAAAAGGCAGACTTTGTCCGTTATGGCAACGCAAAACGCATAATGTCGCTATCTAAAGCGGATACCTCGGCCCTCTGGAATGCCGTCCAAGACAACGACTTCGCGTCTTTCTCCAAGATCAACGCCCTCCTTCTCAATGCCCCCACGCCCCTCCGCAATGTGCCCTTGCGGGTGTACATCCCCTCCTCGCCCCCGCCCGGCACCTCGTCGTCGTCGTCGCCCTCGCTCGCCTCACCGGCCGCGGCGCCCCCGAGACCGCCAGCCTCGCCGTCGACAGCTTCGTCGCAGAAACACCAGCAACAGCCAGCGCCACCAATCCCAGGTATGACGGCGGACCAGCCCTCTTCCACGGGTGCCTACAAGGTCCTCCAGGCCCTCGTGCCTCCGATAGTGCCGGGCACCCGCAACACCCCCCAAACCCTTGGCCGTGCCCTTCAGTCGCACCTCCCATCCCTCTTTCCCTCGAGTCGAGACCCGGTCCTTGCCAACGTAGTGCTCCACGGCTCGCCTGTGCCCTTTTCAGCTCCCCTGGAGGACCTCATGCGCGAAGCCGCGTACCCGGACGGGTGGCTTTGCCTAGCGGTCGTTTTGTTGTGAAGGAGAGAGAGGGAGAGATAGACTCGGGCTGAATGGGGCGCAGGAAGCCTTGGCACGTGTAGATTAGAGTGGCGTCGTTGGGCGTTTGGGAGTTCAAGCGTCGGTTTTGGTTCGGTACCTTTGGGAACTTGGTGGCCTTCCGTAGACCATCAGTTTATCCTAGACTCAGGGGAGATCCATCGCGTGCACTGCTGCAACTTTAAGTTGACAGATAGCAAGAAAGATTGCAATCATTTTGACCAAATTCACATTGAATGGACTGCGGTCTAGACGCAGGATGGCCTTTTCATACCGCACACACACACACACACACACATACACACACACACACATATACATACACACACATATACACACACACACACATATACACACACACACACATATACACACACACACACATATACACACACACACACATATACACACACAGTTGCCCAAGCTGTAGAGAGAGATCCAAATCATTTCACCTGCCCGGTTCCAGACCTAGAGCCATGGCATTTCTTATATATGTGTACCTTCTTGTTCCCCAAAGCCTTTTGTCGTATCGTCCAATGGTATATCATCGCCACGTGTATGTGTAAAGGGAGTAACAAGGAGAGGGGAAAAAAGAAAAAAATACCCAGCACAACACAACCACCCCCTCTCACAGCAACGCGTGTCTCCATTCCATGCGTCTGCGTGCATACGTCCGGGCTTCCAGAAGCCGGAAATAAGGATCTGGCACAAAGAGCAGAAGAAAAAAGAAGGCAGAAAAAAAAAAGCAGTCCCCAAGGTGCAAGACGGAGGAGAGAAGACCAAGCAGGAGAAGAAGAAATAAATAAAGGCCCCTTTTGCCTCCAATGGTATTTCCTTCGCGACACAAGATCCCTGCGCCCGGAACACACTTAAATAAAGTGCGTGAGGGTCGCGGGGGAAGAGTTTGTACTATAATATAGATTTGATATGGTATGATGAACAGAGCCCACCTGGAAACCTACCACCTGTCTCTCTCTCTCTCTCCCCTGGTCATTGAGGCGACGCGAGAAGAAAGAAAAAAAAGAAGAAAAGCAGCACACGCGAACCCAGTTCTCCGATATGCTTGATGCAGAAGAATGCCAAAGACGAAAGAACAATAGATGCCAATAGATGCCCCAAAAAAGAAGAAGAAAAAAAAAACACGAGAGCGGGAGCGCGGTCTTCCAAGCTTTGCATCGGAAAAGCTTGAAATGAGCCGGCACAAGGAAAAGGACGTCAAGACCCAAAAATGCAAGCAAACCCGATCTCAAGCCAACTGGTGTGCTTTCCCACCCTTGATATCTCCTCCACCCGAATTACCTTCATAAAAGCCCGCAGGGACATCATCTAAAAACGACTGTGCGGTGCTTGTTCCTCTAAACCTCTCTCCTAATAAGCCATCCCTGCCTCCGTAATACTGTCCAACCAACCCTCACCGTCTGTCTCGTTCCGCGTGTCTGTCCGACCGTTTCGGGTATGGGTGGGTAACGTCGGGTTCCTGACAAGTGGTGGCTTGGCGTGGTAGTAGTAGTAATAGTAGTAGTAAGTCGATACCATTGTCGACATCTGAGAAGACGTTTCCCAAATACCAATATAGATACGAGCCGTAAATTTAAAATCGCCAAACGCCGGTTCATGGATGATGTTCATGTTGCTTGGGCTGAGAGTCGTAACCACGAGTGGGACGATAACTCTGGCCCGCTTCGTTAACTTTGTCCGTTTTCCCTCCCAATTAGTATTGCATCCCCCATTCCCTCCTTGGCCTCGGGGATATTTTTTCTCTTCTTTTGCATCCAGTTTCCCACTCGAATATTCCGTTGACCCACTCCTGTTGCTCGTGTACTCTTGCAGTGGGTGCGCGCTTCGTGAAGCTTCAGTTTACATCTGCATGGGCTGCTGACCTGGCGATCCAGAGTATCCGTGATAACCCTGGTGGTGATTTGGCGGATGGCTTGATCCGTTGCTGAGGATGCGGTGTCCCTGGCTCGGAGAGTTGTGAGCGCTGTGGTGGTTCTGCTCAACTGCATACGCCATGGACATCGGGCCCTGGTTGTGGTGGTGACCCGGCGGCGCTGGGTGAGGCGGCTGAGGCGGCGGCGGCGGAATCGAAGGGCCGGTCATGCTGGGTGTGCTCGAGAAGCTGCTGGACGCCACTCTCGGTTCGTTGAAGAATAGTTCCCTCTCGATGTGCTGCAGGATGTGCATGTCGATCGTCAGGGCGCTAGAAGATTGGGCGTGCATGTTGAACATTTCGATGGTCCGCCTAAACAGTTCCTGTAGCTGCGACCGCTCAATGAGGCGAGTCAGATAAGGGTCCCTGTAGGCTGCTGCCAAGATCAGGAGGTTGCCCCATTGCCTGCGAGAATGGGTTAGCACCACCGTCTTCTTTCCCAAAGTCCAGCTCACTTACGCATGTGCTGTTCCAAAGATATTGGTCACAAGGAGTCGCTTGTTGTCTACACCGTGGAAGGCCCGAGTGCTCTGGATGAGTGCCTTGATGCCCCTTTCGGCCCACGCCTTGACTTCGGGGTCGAGCTCGTCGTGTCCGCGGATACCGTGAGAGCCATGTCCCACGAGTGCCGTTGCATCGTGGGGGTTGAGGACGCCGATGGCACCCATGTTCTCCTTGTTCAAAATGCCCGAGTCGTCGGAGCGCTGCTTGAGCTTCTCGGAGACCTCCAGGATGAACCTGATGAAGGGCCGGTAGATGATGACTCGAGCGCCCCAGTACTTGGCACGTAGTCTCGCATCCAAAAGGTCGGTCGCTGGAGGGTCTTCCTCGTTGAACCTAAAGTCGTTTGAAACCCACGTCATGCTTCGCAGTTGTTGCTCCAACGCCATCACCTTTCTCATCTTCTCGTACACGCTAACGTGCTGCTCCTTGGGGTCGTACAGCAGATTGTGGATTGTGTTGAGCGTCTTGCGCAGGTAGAGCTGCCCAATGTAAGAATCGCGAACCCTGACCGAAAAGCCGTCGTCCATGAGCTTCATATTGGGCCAGGGCATCTGTTCCTCATAGTCCTGGCACCTAGATCGTGGGAGTTCGAGTTCCGCGATGATATCACTGCAAACATTTAGCAAATATCTCCGGGGCCGACAGATCAGTCGTCACCTACTTTTCCAACTGCAGGCAGCTCCAGAATGCGAGAAGAACCGAGTTGTCTCGCTTCTTTTCGGGGGGGTTATACACCCCCATCTTGAAGAAGCGACTCATGTCACTGCGTTTTCGTTAGCATATTTCACGTCAGCCACCGACTCTCGAGGACTGCTCACCGGCGCATGATCATGTTCAAAGCTCGAGCGGCGTTGAAGAACATGGCATCACTCTCTAGGACTCGGCCCAACTGGCCATAGTACAGACCGGCAAAGATGAATGTCTGGGCGTGCTTTATGGTCCATCCGGCCATGTGGTTGCCCATGATATCGGAAGCATAGGCGAAATACTCCAGGCCAGGGATGATGTCGTAATTGCGCCTCAGCGAGTGGCCTGTCTTGAGAACGCCGCTGCCCTGCATCGACTGACGCCGGCTCGGGAGGCCGTTGGCCTGCTCCTTGGGCGAAGGCAGCCCCGAGGATTGAGAATGCGCGGAATAGGAAGGGGGCGATGCCTGTGTGCCGGGAGAGGACGGGTAGCCGTTCCTGTTTGCCGGGGAGTTGTGGTTGTGCTCGGGTATGTCCCGCGGCAGGTCTGGGATCTTGGACTCATGCTGACATATCTTGCCGAGAGCGAGAATGACCAGAACGAGGGCGTTCTCGATAGTCCTGTGCGGTCTGCCGGGCTTCCTGGGTAGTGGAGCAGGCTCGTCGGGCTGGTCGCCTGCTGGCGAACGCTTCCGCTTGTTGGACATCTCGGGGTAGCTCGTCGGCGGCACGAACTTGGCCACGCCGGGGGCTTGAGGCTTCGTCTTCCTCTCGGTCTGTGCTAGGCTGTCCAGGAAGCGCTTGACCAAGCTCCTCAAGTCGCCAAGAGGAAGAATGGGATGCAAGCTCAGAATGTGTTTCTCAAAGCTGTGCACATACGACTTGACCGTTTCTTCGGCGAAATCTGGATGGCCGTCGCCCACAAGGGTCCCGCTGGTATATCCCACATTCAAGGGCGGACTCCAGCCCCCAACTTGACCCCACGCATCACCCGGCGAGGGCGAGTTGCCAGTCTCGGAGAAACTGTCCTCGATTGCGTCGACGGTTCCGAATGCCTCGGCCGCGCTGCTTCGCTCGTACGTAGAAGTGGCACCAGTGGCAGCAGCGGAAGGAGTGCGCTCCTGGCCACTGCCTTCACCGCGTCCATATAGACGCAACACTCCCCGCTTCTCCTCTTGGGCGATGGGGTACTCTTGAGGGTACTTGACCCCCTCTCTTTCCAGGATTCCCTCGGTCAGCTCCTTGATTCCCGGCCACGACAACAACATGTCGGCTCTGGTGGTGTGATTTGCGGGGATCGAAGGAGCGCCCGGGGCCACGGGTTCTCCCGGCGGAAACTGGTCCTCGGGTTCCATGTCGGCGTCGTGCATCTGCTGGGCCAAGTCGGTCTCACCAACAGCCATAGGATGCGGCTCTTCCATTTCTACTTGGTTCGGGGGATAACTGTCGACAGGCGGCGCAGCGGCAATCGGTGAAGGCGACTTGACAATCGACTTTTGAACCGGGGACAGGTCTGCCGACAGCGGCTCGTTTTCCATTTTGATGTTGTGGAATTTGAGCGTCGTTTCCATCTTCTTCATCCATTTTTGCTGCTCAAGGATCTGTGCTTCGAACTTGGCCTCCATCGCCGTCTTCATCTCGGAAATCGCCTCGAGGATGTCGGTCTGTCCTTTGTCGATACTGTTTACACCATCAGCAAGATACGTTAGGCGCGGGAGGGGAGGCAAACTCGACTGACGCCTTTGGAACGGGATCGCGGTATTTACACTCGACCCCCTTTTCTCTGCAGCTCTTGCAAGGCTTGGTTTCATCACATTTCGCCTTGAGTTGCCGACAACTATCGCAGGCCTACAGCACACGAGAGGGTTAGCGCGCTGACAAACCATCGAGGGCAGCCCGTCAGAACCGGGCCGCACATACCTGAGAGGCTCGTGTTGCCTTGCGCTTCGCAGTCGAGGAGTATTGGATGTTATTGTAGATGGACTCCTGAGGGGCCTGATACTGAGGCGGTTGCTCGTAGTGTTGTGGAGGAGGAGGCGGCGGCGGCTGGGCCATGGGAGGAGGGGGGAAGCTGCCTCGGTACCCCCCCGGCGTAGGGGGCATCTGCTGGGGCCCGTTGTCGTAGCTCATGTGTCGTCGAGAGTCGTCCGGGTAGGGCTGATGAGATGGGTGAGGGGGCGCAGGGTGCGGCGGAGGAGGTAGACCGTCGGCTGGCCCGCCTCCCGTCGAGTGCGGGCGTCGAGGATGGGCGAGGTTCTCTTCGTGCGGCTCTCTCTTCACGCCGGCGGGGTCTCGGCCGGGATACGGTGGGTAGTGAGGGTGAGCAGGCGAGGCTGGGTGTCGGTAGTGATCCTGCATCGGCGCGTACGGAGGCTCTTGCTCATGGTGTCTTCGATCATCAACGTGATGGTGTTGCGGCGCGGCGTGGGAGGGATGGTGAGGCTCAACGGAACGAGGAGGGTACGGCGGCTGCGACTGATGGTTATAGGGCGCGGGCTGGGCAGTATGGTGAGGCGGGAGGGTATGAGCCTGGTGCGGCGTCGAGGGGTGTGAGGAGGGCGGCGGCGGCGGCGGCGGCGGCGGATGGTGTAGTGGTGGCAGTTGTTGATGTTGCGGACCGCCCGTTGGTGACCACGAGGTAGTAGTCGAGAGACGGGGGCGCTTGTTGTCAGGCTGCCCCGGAGGATCCATGCTTGATATATATGTACATGCGTACAAATGCTAATGAACAAACAAGAGACGAAGCGAAAATAGGGTCAGGCCAGATCCGTGAGGTGGAGGGAGGAGGTGGCGGCCATGGAAAAGCTATGGGCAACCGGGGAAGAGTCGCAAGTGCCAGTCCCGGTCCGGTCCAGTCGAGTGTGTCCGAGGGAGGTACTAGGCCAACGCAACGCACGGCGACGCAGATGGGAGCAGTGGACGGGGATGGGGAGAGGAAGAAGGGAAAGGAAGGAAACGCCTTAGTGACAAGCAAGCAAGCAACTTGACAATCAATCGAGCAGGTAGCCTGTGTGAGTGAGGGAGGTGCGCGAAGTGAGAGAGAGAGAGAGGCCGAGACGAAGGACGGGGAGGGCCAGGTCGGGCTGGGGGGTGTGTATGGTTTGACTTCTTGGACCCAGGGGGGGAGGCAACGGGAAGCAATCGGAGGTTCCCAGTGTTTGGACGAAAGCAAGGGACGGTGGTCGAGTCTCGAGCAGTTCCTGTCCTAGCGAACGGTTGACGGCGGCGTAGGTGTACAGCACTGATACCACAACGGCTAGTCAGCGCGCAGGAGGTAGGCAGCAAGAAAGTGTATCTCTCTGTCTCTCTCTAGGTATGGCGCAAGTCGGCGCGAAAGCCAGACAGGGCAAAAAGGTACTTGTTGGCTGTGTCGGGGATCTAGGTATATCGAAGGTATGCCGTCGGGGGGGGCAAAAATGATAGTGCGAGGCGAGAGAGGCGGTTTGAGATGTTCCCGGCTCTGTGGTTCATGAAACTTGTGAGATGGGATTTCCCACTCCGCGAATGCGCCCGGATGCCCAAAGGATATGCGGCAGAAAGGGAAGGATGGGAGGGGCGAAGATCGGCGCGTTGGGCAGAGATGGAGACTGGACAAAATTTCTTTCTTTCACTCGGCGAGTCTTGCCCTTTCTCGTGTACTCGGTTGCACTCGTTCAGGGTTGACGGGGATGAAGGTGCGAGCGAGGTGGGGGAAGGATCTCGGGCTCGCGAGCGTGGGAGGAAGAGGGTGAGGGAGGGGAAAAAAACAAATGAATGTGTAGAAGACGTCGATTTCTCAAGCGGCGGCAGATGGAAGGGTGATGATGGAGTGAGTTCGCCATATACCTAACCTTGCTCACACCGCACAGAGAAGCCAGAGATGAGCGGGGCGGGGTACAGAATACAAGTGTTCATGCGCGTCAGAGGTGCTCGGCAAGGTACCGAGTACAGGTGCATCACAAGAGGCGTGTGGAGGTGTGTGTGGAGCGTAGTAGATATGGATCCCTAAAAAAGTTGGAGGCAGAAACGGGCACCCACTACCTTTCGAAGGCGGTCTGGTCTGTCTATCTGTCTCTGAGGAGGGGGAAGCTCCTAGGAGCTTGTAGTTTGGGGGGGGGGAGGGGAAGGGGGAGGGGGGGGTGCGTGTTTGCAAGTACCTTCACCCCCGATGATGGGCCAGTAAGAGAGATAGCAACTACAGGTACAACAGCAACAGCGACAGCGACAGCGATAGAGACGCACGGAGACAAGGACTTTTGAGGTGGGTGTTCCCAGCCTGGGAAATCCAATCGACCCTGCCCAGTGTCAAAGTCTCAGCCCCATAGTATATAAACGAGCAAGGATGCTGGTCGGGGGCGGGCGGTGATGCTTGAGCGACGAGATGGCTAGTGTAGAGCACCACACACTGAGATAGAGAAAGCGAAAGCTAGCAAGAAAACACTAATACCAGAAAAGGATAGAGAAGTTGGTAGAAAGAGAGAGAGAGAGAGAATAAAAAATAAAACAAAAAGAGCACTACAAGAAAAAGAAAACAAAACCAAAACAAATGTAGCGGCGGCGGCGACCCTCTGGGGTTTGCGAGGAGGTCAGGACGAGAGACCTTGGTCGTATAGTATACATGTGAGTACATGGTGAGGTATCCAAGTTGGTTAAGAGATTTTGCGGTGCCGCTGGGAAGAAGAGAAAGAGGGCGGACAGTAAGGGGAGGAGGAGAAGGGTGCGGGGGGGGGGGGGGGGGGGGGCGTGTGATGGACGTGTGTACGTACCTGGTAGAAAGTCGACATCGCCGCCGTTTCTTCCACCACGCGCGCCGTCCGTCGCGCCGCCTACCCCTACCCCCTGTGAGGGAAAAAGAAAAAAGAAGAAAAGGAAAAAAAGACTGCAAGTGGGAAGGAGAACCCCAGCCAAGAAGCAGCAAGTAAGTCCGTGCGTGCGTTCCTGGTCAAGAAGGACTGGGGAGGGGGGCGTGTGATTTATGGGCTGTACCACACTACCGTACGCACTCGTGAGATTCGTCGACCACTAGTGAGTCGGCTAACGGCAATAGGTATCGTGGCCGCTGTAAGAGGTGTAGTGTGCTGGCAGAAACAGGGATCTGGATGTGGCAAAAGCAGGGGTTAGTCATGTACGTCAGCAGCAAGTTAGGTGGCAAAGGCCAGCAAAAAACCTTGTAATTGGCATTGGATTTCCTCCCTCTCTCCCACTCTAGATCTCCCATGGCCTTGTTGAACTATCTCCAATGGGTTGACTATCTCCAATGGGTTGCTGGACGTCTTCAGGTAGAGATATATACTCTTGGCTGTCGTTATTTGCATTGACGTCAGGTATCTCTTCTTGTGTCATTTCCTTCTTTACATAGGCGTCGCAGTTGAAGTTATCCCAACTATCCTATGATATCTTCTCGTTTGGTATGTCCTTAATCCGAATCTTGTCAATGTCGCTTCCATCTGGGTTACCACTAATCCCACACTGAAGAAAGGATTGCCGGACCATCTTACTCCTTCCAGCTAGGCGACGGGCAGCTGTTGCAACAGTATAGGTAACCATTACGCGTTTTATTGATGTAGACCACTTGATGGGCTGGCTGGGCTGGCCGGGCTGGCTGGGTTGGATGGGTTGGATGGGTTGAAGTGGCTAGATAGGCTGGCTGGGCTGGCAGGCGGCAGCTTGCTCTATTTGCTACGTATACTCGTCGGTTGCCTCAGATAACCACTGCTTAAAGGGCTTATTAATAGCAGTATCTAGAGGTTAGAGGAGGGAGGTTGTGCCTAGCGGTATAAGGCTAGGTGTCACGTGGTTAGATCGAAGTCGTGATAGTATTATAGGCGTCTTATGAAAAGTAGTAACGTCTATAACCAACAGGTATTCTTGCCCTGTTGTAAGGGGAAAAAATTCATCTGTTAGCCACTGCCCAAGGAGATACTCGTTATTATAAGCCGTATCGTTATATTCAACTGTTACCTCTTTACTGTATGAGTCACCCTCACGTGCCTCAAGTTGGCTGCCAAGGCTAGCAGGCTTGCCGTGAAAGATAAGCTTTGGCAGTAGCCGTTGGACCCCATCGGCAAAGATGTAGAGAATGAGAGTGGCTTGCCGCTTACTCTAGCCACTACGGTCGGTCTTGCTAGCCACAGTACAGGCCCCTCGGGCTGCCCAAGTTGAGCCATCGAGGTACTCAAAAGGGATAGGGGTCTCATCAAAGTTGACGATACAGTCAGGTGGAAATCGGAGCCCATTAATGGGCTGGCGGGCAAGTGAGGGCTGACTAACCCGTCGGTTGAAGTGGAGGAAGTTAGTAACAATAGTGAGGTATTCGGCAGGCAGCTTTGAGGCTTACTTTGTAATCCGGCGGTGTGAAATATTCCATCGTGTGCAAAAGCCACTAAACCAACCCACAGAGAATCAGAAGGGGTAGGTAGGCAGGTTGTTGGCCATGAGGGTGTTAGGATAGTTGGCTGTAAAAAGGGCCCAGGCCTCCCGCTTAAACCATCCGGTAGTAACTACCTTGTCACAGGCTCGTTGTTGCTAGAAGTGACTATAAAGGTCAGCTTCCATCTCTAGCCATTTTGGTTAATAACGTACAGCTAGACTATTGCTAGCAAGAGCCTCTTGTTGTCAGTACCAGCTAGATATCGTCGTAACAGGTATTTTGAAGCGGGCAGCAGCCTCAGGAAAGGTTAGGCGGCGGAGACCGTTGGCTAGGTCAAGAGGGGTATCGTTGGCCCGCGGCCGTTGCTGCCGTAGATTTTGCTGTTGCCCAGAGGGGTTCAATGGGTACCGGTGGTGCTCAAGGTAAGTTAATACCTCTGTTTTCTTTTGCCGAGAATAAGACCGTTCAACTCGTTGGATTGGCTTCTTTGGTGTATATCGTCGGTTGATAATAGGGGTAGACTTCTTGCCCATCTTCTTGCGTAACGGAGGTGTAATATTTGGGTTGATTTCGCCCAGCGGCGGCAGGCGGTCGGGCATCGTGAATATCGTGGTGGGTGGGTTGGTGGGTTGGCAAAGTTAACTTGGATGGGCTGGCTGGCAAGCAAGTGGGCAAGTGGGCAAGTGGGCAAGTGGGTGGATGGGTGGATGGGTGGATGGGTGGGTTGATGGGTTGACCGCTTTCTATATTAGGACTAGCGCAGTGGATATCCACTAGCTGTTATTGGTAAGCTGCTAGCTATATACGGCTAGCCGGCTCACTAGTGGTCGACGAATCTCACGAGTGCGTACGGTAGTGGTAGGAGCGCTGCTTGCCGCTAGCTATTTCTTCCTTCTTACCCTTCTCCTCCTGCTCCTTCCTTCGGCTCAAGCACTATACATACACCCATCTGTGCCATGCGTGATGCATCTGTGGGTACGTGCTCGACTCATACGTTTGTAGGTACACGGATACGGCTCGTAGCTCGACGTGAATATACGTACTGGCCTGTCCAGAGTACAGATACTGGCCGTACAATAATAGGTACGTACTCACACTGCCGTCACGGGACGTCTGTCTCGATGCTTGGGGAAAGTCTTGGACTAGGCTGGAATTCGACTACGTCTTGCGGCTATACCTGGGTAGATACGCACGCACATACATACATACATACATTAATTAGTAGGCAGGCTGGTGAACTATCCGGACCTTCCTACCTACCCAAGTGCTTTACTGTCCGTCCATGTTGCATCTGCCTGAGTGGCGTACCTGGGCCGTGACATATTATCCGTTTGTCAGACACACATCCACACACATACGCGCGCGCGCGCGCGCACACACACACACACACACACACACACACGGTTTCTGGCGCAGACCCCAGAATGACACATACGCACACACATACTATGAGTAGGCCTGCACACACAGAGCAAACTAGCACTACTGCTAATAGACATCCAAGAAAAGTTGACAGATAGTCAGGGATAGGGCGGCGACCAGCGCGCTGACCGACTCGGGTCATTCTCCATTCCCGACGACACCGCCCATGCGGACCGACCTCCCTCCCACGCCCACCATAATAGCTTCTCTGTTTTTGCTTGCAAGCCGGCGCAGTCTGTCGTCCAGGGCCGGTAAACCTAGCAAGCAGTTCCTTCTGGTCGGTTCCCCGAGGCCACGATGCCAGCTCGGACGGGACGCGCCGCCCGAAGCTGTCGGAACAAAGGGGGGGGGATGGGTGGACTCGGGGAAAAGCATCAAGACAAGACAAGACAAAGATAGCATCCGCGACTCATGGGATAGACGGCGAAAATCTGTTGGCAACAGACGGGACCCATCGTACCTGCCGCTGTTCCTACCCCGACCAGCCTATCCCAGCCATCCTATCCCAGCTATCCTATCCCAGCCATCTTTCTCCTATTCTCCCTTCTCCTCTTCAGTCTCGCCTCTCTTTGCCCGCCGCAGAGTCACAAAAGAGGCGGGAAAAGACGATACATTGTACAAGTCATGCAACGGCGCATTCTGTCTGGATCATGTCCCATTCCATGCCGCACTCCGGGCCAGACGACTGGGGATCAGCGGTCACGGGATCCGGGAAGGGGAAATTTGCTTCCTGGCTGGAGGAATGGGCGATGTCTCCACTTTTCCGGGGGGCGGGGCTCAACTCCGCCGTCCACGTATCCGTACACTGAGTATTATTATTATACTATGTAAACCAGGTATTTTGCCCCGCTCTTCCTTGTTCTTTTGGCCATTACGTCGTGGGGTGGTTGTCTGCCTGAGACGAGGACCGGTGAGCGGGACGGTGTACGATGTACGTCGTAATGTGCCATGCGGTGAGTGAGGCTTGCTTGTGTGTTGGCGGTGTCTTGTTGCGAGTCACCCTCCCCGCCCCCCTGGGAGGACACGCCGAGGTACCTGCGCCCGAGTCGGTCCTCAACACAACAGTATCCGTTCTCGGTGCTGTTATATTCAGTCTATATATGTCTCTCTGGAGAGGGGTGGGGAGGAGGGTGGGGGTCGAATTCTGTCTTGGTTCCCGAACTTCCCGAGCCCTCGGTAGCCAACGCGCAGGGGATGCGACGCCAATGCGATCCCATCTCCTTCGTGGGAGACAATAAATGGGCGGCGGAACGCTGCGCATCCTCCCTGCAGAAATGATTGTCGGCTACACTCCGCTCGTCACTTGTCCGCTGCCTTGCGCCGGCGCAGCTCTCACTCTTACTCTCTTGACAGATGGGGTCCGGATTGGATGCGGGCCGATTCACGTAGGCAGGCATCGCGCGCGTGCCCAGGCGGTCATGGTTTGCCTCGGCTCAAGGACTCACTGGGGCCCTGTGTGCTCGAGTCGTGAAGAAAAACAAGCGCTCGCCGTGACGTAGGGGAGTGTCTCGCTTGGGTTCTCTTTCGCTTCCATACGCACCAGCAATGTTACAGGAGGGGGGCGGAATTCCATGGGCGTTGAAAGCGGAAGATGCCCGGGGCCATACTGCGCTATGGTATAGTTTGCCATGTAAATTGATTGGTAGAGAGCGAGGGAGAGAGGGATAGGGAGAGAGAGACAGAATGAAAGGGCCCGAGGTCACCTCATCACCCGGCAGACCTGCGTCCCGTTGCATTAAAAGGTTTCATAGGCACGAAGGATGACGAGGCATCGCGGGGGCTCCTGGACGGACAACGATACCTATACAAGACCCGTGGACGCGGAACGAAGCCCGAGGGGCCAAGTGTTGAAAAAACACGGGGGGTTACACGAGCGGACGGCGGTATCCATATACTCGGTGCCCTGCTATCTCACTGATGCCCAACCAGCGGTGACACTTAGCATGGCAGAGTCTAAATCAAGTCGGGGCCAACAAGAGAAATGGGGAGAAGGAATAGAAGCATCCGCGCCAACTCCACGGCGCCGGTCCAAAGGGCCGGTACCTGGAAAGGATTTGGCTCAGAGGGGGGACGGGGACTCGGGGCGCCATGAGGGACCCGCTCTACTTAAAGTCGACGGGGATGGCCCCTTCAACGGACGTAGCAGGCGAGTGAGCAGCAACACTCCTCCCTACTCTCTCTCTCTGCGTGTGTGTGTGTACCCAAGTCTGTAGCTTCTGCTTTGCTTGCACACTAAACGTGGGATGAGATGGGATGAGGGGAGGGAGGGGTTGGCGCTTGGCGACAGGCGACGGGCGACAGGCAGGGGGGGTGTGCGGGGAGGCGGAAAGGGTAGTGGGCAGGTGAACTAACAGCAGCAGCAGCAGCAGCAGCAGCAGCAGCAGCAGCAGCAGCAGCAGCAGAAGCTTCCTCCTATCAGATTTGCTCTTCGAAAGAGGGGGAACGCTGGTGGGATGGCATGTCAGCCCCGAGGGCTGCTGATGCTGCGGCTGCCGGCTGGTGTGCATAGGCCGGCGATGGTGTGATGGTGGCGGGCAAAGAGCTTGCTGCTTGCCGAGACGGCGTGCGAGGGAAGCAAGGGAGCCAGGATGAACGCTGCCCGTCAGTCTGTGGTCTATCGGTGGGTACTATAGTGAGCCGCCGAAAGGGAGGTGTGAAGGAGATGGGGGGGAGACTGCCAGTCAGTTTTAGTTCGAGGTCAGTCAGTTAGTTTCGAACTGTTTTGGAGGTGGGAGAGTTCCGAAAAAGCACGTGCAGCCTTTAGTGGATACCGACTCCCATGACGGATCCAACAGCAAGAACAATAACAACAATAACAACAACAACAACAAGAAGAAGAAGCGTCGTTGTGATTGACGATTGACAGCAATGACAATGATGGTTCTCCCCCAGAAACTCTAATGCGGTAAGCCTCATCATCGCCCCTGTTCCGCCACCCTCTCCCTCTCTCGTCTTAGGGCGCCGCCCGTGCTTTGCACCTGCTGGTCTGCTGACCCGGGTGTTTGATAGAGTCCGAGTGTCGAGTCTGAGAGTTTGAGAGTCTTTGCTCATCCTGGCCTTGTTGCAGTGAGATCCGAGCCTGTCTTTGCCGACAGCCGGTTCAGGGTAGGGAAATACTACAATAGCCTGCTCTCTCTCTCTCTCTCTCTATTTGTGTGTGTGTAAGGGTATGTTTGTTTGTGCGTCTGCAGGATATGATATGTTATATGCCGTTGGAGCTGTCACCTCCCCTGCCCCCTCCACCCCCTTCGGGTCCCAGTGCTGTTTTTTTGGTTCGGGTCGGGTCGGCCAAGGCCTCCAAAGACAGAAACCTTCTCCAAGTCCGCCCGGTTCGGCAGTAGTGACCTTGGTGATGCGACTCTATGAAATTGCCGCGCCGCGGTGCCCAGGCGGGAAGGGTGACCCCGTCTCCAAAGTGCCGTTGTAGCACCAGCCCCTCTATATTTTATTTCCAAATCCGGGAGGGTGGTTTTTTTTTCTTGTCTTGTTCTTCCTTGGGGCTTACCAGCAGTCGAAGTCTTCACACTTTGGCACTTCTCCAAGAACCCGATGACAATTGCGCGAGTCGCGTCAAAGTAAGTCGGGACGCCGTTTCTTACTCCGCTGCTCTGAATCCGGATATCAGACCAGATTACTGAACCCCAATTCTGTCCGTGTGTCTGTGGAGAAGCAAGTCATCCGTGTCGAGCGAGCGAGCGCGCACACACGCACGCACACAGACACAGACACCGACACAGACACATAATTACACATCACACACACAGACAACTCTTCATCTCTCTTCCAGGTTTCTGTGCCTCTCGGCCCCTGTCTCTCTCTCTCTCTCTCTTTCTCTGCTATCAGGGACTCCGTCAGCACCCGTCAGCTCCTGTTTGTCGTGGCCGAGGCGTGTCGGGATCTCCTTGGCCAATGTCATTATCACAAGCAACAAACTTGACCGAGCCAAGCCCGGCCTTTGCAACTCGGCAAGGACAGGATCCACGGCTGTGTGGGTCTGTTGTGGAGTGTGTCCAGAGGAGAGAGAGAAATAGAGGGGATCAAGAACAGGTTTGAGGTTTTTCCCTAATATGGCCGTCCCTGGTTCCTCCCAACACTACCACTCTTAGTCCATAAACACATACCACCCATGTATAACAAAAAAAGTGATATGAAAATTTACAATTTTTTTTTTTTTTTTTCAAAATAAAAGGCTCTTGCACGTCCCGTCACCTTTGCGACCAGTCCACATCCCCCATCAGAACGAGGCGCGTCAGTGCACCGCCCCCCCAATATATACGATGTCCTTCCAAAAACGAGAGCATCATTTCTCGGGGTTTGGCGAATGCTAGTGTACTGGTGGCCCGGCGGATGCATATGCTGTGGTTCAATGGATGTGGAGTATCTTGCCGTTTTTCTCGCCTGGGCTTCGCTGCTTCGCTAGGTTCCGAAGCGGAGTTCCACATTAAACCCCATACGGCCGTCTACCGAGCGAGTCCCCCCCTCTCTCCAGACGTCGTCAGGGACCTGTATAAGTCCAGGCTAAATCCGACTGCGTTAGAGTATCATTGTGTAAACCACATGTGCGAAGTCGAGAGGGGACCGCTTTGGTTGGGTACGTATCTCAGTCAGGGGGAGGGACCTGAACCAGGAACGACGCAGTGTCGCTCACCCATCACCTCCTTTCCCCCTTTCGGTGAGCCGCAACCTCTCTCGTATCCGCTCCGGATTCGGAGTCGGCCGCGAGCGCCGGCGAGCTTTCAACAGCGTGCGGGTTTGCACAAAGAACGCCCGTGTGTCCCAAAAAAGCTTGCCCATCTCTTCCTCTCCCCCCCCCCCCCCCATCCTTTGCCCAACCGCGACACTTCATGCACTTGACACATTTGGAGTCGTTGGAAAACAGGGTTTCGCGGGGTAAAGGGTTTTGGGCGTTAGCCACGGTGATGTACCCCTTTCCCCTTTCAAGCTGTGTTTCTCGCGCTTGCTGTTTGCCCTGTGGGACCTCGAAAGGGACCGCTTTGTGCCCAGCACCTTACCACTTTCTGTTTGCCGCATCCAACGAGAGCAACGGTATTTCTCTATTCGGATTCGGCGTGCTCGTCTGCGTCATGTCCAACGAGACGAGACTAACAACACATCCCCCGCCTTCCCCTCAGCTTCCCGTCAGCAAACCGTTCCGGCGTTACGTCGGATGCCAGCGCTGTCCGCCCCTGTCCGCTCACCGCAAGCGAGTGAGATAGGCCTGTATACAGACAATCGACGGGTCATCGGGGCCTTTGCTGCAGAACAAGATTAAGACGCAAGACGCAAGATACCGCTCGGGATGCGATTAGATGTGACTGCCGGCAAGTGATGCGCCGGGCAGGCAACCGGCGGCCCACTGCGGGCCAAGCGGCCTACTCCATGGGTAAGAAGTGTCTAGTGCTGTTGGAACGGCATCATTTGCCCCCCCCGGAGGACTTGCTATCTCAGTCGGGGAACTTCGGTGAAGTCGCTAAATAGATACCAATAGCCTCTCGAAACGGGCCAAAGGTCGCCGACCCTAGCCTCGAGCGCAACGAACGTGCCGACCGGGCGGGGGCATGGGATCCTGCAGAAGATCCCTGCTCCATCTGTCCCGTGCTACTGTAGATGTTCAAGAAAAAAAAAGAAAAAAAACCTCGTGAGGAACCGCCTTGTATCTGTACCTCGGTATCAAAGACAAAGGAGTGTTCAACGTGACCTGCGCAAATGCCGCCCTACGAGCGCCACCCTCCCGCTTGCTTTTCCGTCCCGTTCGTTCCTCGTTCGGCAGGGCTGGACAAGTGAGACGCGGACACGCGTGGGCTGACGAGAGGGGGGAGGAGGAGGAGGAGGAGGAGGAGGAGGAGCATCATGGGATAAGGTGGCATGCAAGACGGCGCAGCGTCATGTCATTTTTTCGCCTTGGCCGCGAGCAAGAGAGGAATAACATGTTTGCGCATCATCAAAGCAACGGGCAGTCGTGGATTAGCCAGCCCCAACCACCACCCCCTCCTCTCTCTCTCTCTCTCTCTCTCTTCAGACCGTCGTCGACTTGTAACCAATGTCTGGCCTCGTTCGAACTTCGTACGCCGTACGGTAACATCATGCTACGCCACTCAGCTGTCACCGCCCAAGCTTATTTCACTCGCTCAGGCTACTACCGATACGGGAGAACCCGTGACTTTCAATCACTGTCCTACCGCATTCGCTAGAGTCTTGTTCATGCGACCTAAGAACAAGGGTCGCCTCGCTCCCTCTCTCCCTCTGTTTCTCCACCTCTCCGAGTTTGTCCATGGCAAGCAGGCGTAACGACAACATGCAACGCGTGCTCGCCAATAAGCGGTTTTACACGACTAGTAGAAGTAGTAGCAGCCCACACCGGCTTGTCAAGGGTTTTTTTTTTCTCCCCCTCTGGGAAAAGAAAGAAACGAGCACCTTATGACGGAGAGGCGGTAAGCCTGACGTTTGCCACGTTCCGCAGTAATCTCTTGGCGGCTTTCTCGGCGTTTCTTGCTTGATACCGGAAGTACCCCGCCGGCGAATGAGCGTCGAAAGAAGGCTTCAAGAGTCAGTATACATAGCACGTTAGAAGAGGTCGGGCTTGGGGAGGGGGGGGGACATGATGAGGCTGTTGAACGCATAAAATTAAAAAATTACTGTTGCGATGTTGATCATCGCCCGTTAATATCGGAGCTATCGGATTAACTCCGATGGCCGATGGCCGGATTAACCACGGCCGACCGCCGACGAATATCCTCCGCGGATTCGCGGCGGTTAACTGGCTACTTAACCAGCCAGCCCGCGATAGTTACCCTTCTTTTTCTTCACGCATAATAGAGATCAACAGTCACCCCTAGTATTTGTCAATCGCCACCGATACGTACGGTTAACCGTGTCACCAATACCCTGGTGAAACCAACAATTACAAAGAAGAGGAATTAAAACAAATAAAAAGATAATAAAAGAGCCCCCGAAATGTGCTCGGAGCATGCTCCGAGCTTTTGTTGTCCAATAAGCGGCCACTTCTTCTATTCTAAATGTTTCATCACTCGGTTGCCTGTAACATGTCCATATATCACATACGCATCGCCGCAGCTGCCATGCGTGGTGGGGTGATGCGCGCAGCACTTGATTTGATTGTGCTGACTGGGCACGGTTTGGCCCGTGCTCAATGGACTGCCCGGCTCTTGTTGCGTTGTCAGCGATGAAGAAACAATATCTCACATCGACTTCAGTCACATCATCACACTCGGCGTCGAGGTGACATATAGATATACTTGTGCAGAAAGCAGCTAGTCATCTGCCCAGCTCTGCCTGTTAGTACCCAAGTACTCACCGCCATTTGTACCAGTAGCACACAAACCGAGCATACACGGTGAGGGAAGTTCGTGATCTGCATGCTTAATTGGTCGCCGCAAGGCGAGCAGACATCCCGGCTGGCCAAACTGTACCGGTAGCAGGTTCCAAGTCTGGTCGGCAGGGCTGGTTACCGGTTCCCTTCCCTCCCTTCGCAATATGCTCAGGAACCAAAGCATCATTTCTCACATTTCGAGAATCGCGCGGGCCTCGAGACACTGATCAGCCCGTCGTTGAAAAGGCTTCTCTCCCCCTCTCCCTCGGATTTTGTCAGTTTTTCTCGTTCACGATGTAACAGCCTTGGCCGTGTCTTGTTGGTTGAAATGATCGCCAGCTAAAGCTCTGGGGTGCAGGGATTCCTCTATCGCCTCTCACATCCCAGACCCGCAATGACCAACTCTGGGATCAGTGAGACTTCTGGTTTCCCGGTCCCCTCACCGCAGCTAACCAGTCGGCCCTCAGTTCAAGCCAGTTCTCCGTGGTCTCTTCCCAGCTGCCGCAGCGCAGCGCAGGGGCGCCTCCAGGCAGGTACTGTCCATCGCTCGGTAGTTTGATGAGCTGTGCCGGAGGGCAGCTGAGAGGCGGGGGTGGCTGAGATGACAGAACACCGGAATGGCGTGACTTTTCGAGTTCGAGGTTACATTTCTGGGCCGCACCCTGCACCAATGTGAGCCCTACATCTCGTATTCTGTCACGGCACTGGCGGAGGTCAAGTACAAGGCACTATGTAAGCTGCCAGCAGGTACATTGATAGGCTCCAAACGCGTGCCCGCGAAGTTGACTGGCTATCTTTCTATTCCGCGTGGAATGCGGGGAGCACATCTAGCTTGCAGGATCGACAGGACTCGCCCTCAATAGTCACATCAACGACCGAACTTAATTCATCCCGAACTTGCCCGCGCAACCATGTCCATCACTCAGGCCAAAAAAAGAAAAAAAAGAAAGAAAAAGGTCTGGGACTGGCGTTTTAGACCCGGGTACGCTTCCCCTAACGCAAGCCGTTGGACCGCAAACCGGTGATTGCAAGCCGGTCTTCTCCGGTGCCGACCAGTAGTGTGCCCCTTCCCTCGACCACTTGGGGAGGTGTTGGATATCCGGAAATTGGCGCACCGCCAGCTGGGGTCGAAGGTTTACTAGGGCATGCCAGGATCCTGATGGTGGCCATGTTGCAGAGAGCAAATGCACTCACTCCTAGTATGGCGATTTGGCCTTCATACCCGGTACGACCATACCCCTCGGGCGACGACATACGCCGGGTGGCTGCGAGGGCGGGCTTTGTTACACGAAGATCCCATGCGTCGCGCTTCTTGGCCGCTTCTATCAAAAAGTGACATCTGACATGGACGACGATTCAAACAGCCCGAGCCCAGATCCGACTTAGTTAGCGATCGGCGGGAATGACTGCCAGAATTGCGCCGCCGCACCATAATATGTCCCGCTGTTATCATAGCAGCACTTGTGTAAGTAGTTGCCTTGCGCTTCCCGTTCTCGCGGCCCTGCTCGATGACGTGTGGCAGATGGAGGGAGTTCGCGACGAACATGGCATGCCTCTTTCTAGGAACCCAGAGGGTGGACGGGGCCTTGGATGGGTTCAACAACCGAGTAGTGCCGTGCTAGGACATTTGCCCGCGTTACAAAGGGTTGCTTGCACCCAATGGCTGTTCAAGATTGGTTCCGATCTCATGGTGCGTCTAAGCAGAGTTCAGGACCCCCGCCATCCCACGATTTTGTCAGTTCTCATGAGATTCTGATCTGCAGCTGCACAAGCTCTTGGCCTCGAAACTTGGGCCTGATGGACAACATCAGAGCTAGCCCCTACAACGTAATCTCTGGTTCTTCTTCTCGGCCGCTCCCCCCCCCCCGCAGGGCTCTCTCAGACAATTATTGCCCATTTCGTACCTGGAGTAAGCCAGCCTTCTGGGCATCGGATCCCCGGTTGGTGGTCAAAGGGAGACAGACCCCGGTTCATTGCGTACTTCCGCCAGTTGACTGCCGTCACCAAGGCACGCCCAAGATCAACGACAATCATCATACAATAAGCCCCTCCAGTGATCGTCCCAAGCTGCATTGAGACTCTTGCATGACGCTCGAATTTCGGAGACAGCGCCACAGGCGGAAATGACCTCAGCAGTGTGGTAGCTCGCCGTTCTTTCGACGGTGTCCTCTTTTGCCTTTAGATGTGCGTTGTATCCCGTGGTACTCCGTGTCTAGTAAGACGTCCGAACCCAGGCAGCATTCCTGAAGGCAGAACCCAGTCTTGATATTCGGCGCCGAAGGCTCTAGAAGGGCGAACCGTCGTTCTATCCACCGCGACTAGCACATGATCGCCACTAAGAGGAACCGTCCGGGAGCCTGCAAAACTTACAAATCCGACGCAACTCCTCTCCGTTCTAATGTTATACACAGCACGAGAATCTGCTAGTCCGGCCTGGGGTAGCTAGGGCATGCTTGCTTCGCTTCCTCTTGATATATAATACATACATAGTACAGAGTACGTAGTACGTAAATCTTCCTTCTTATCAGCTCATCGGTTGGTGCCGTGCTGACAGCGAGCCTCATTGACCGTGAGGGTGTCAAGAATCAGCTGACTGACGCCCGCAATCAAGGATCCCGGAGATCCTGGTCGGGAAAGGGGCAGTAATGTTATCGCATACCTTGGCTGTGAAGCGGACAACCTTTTTCTCTTTCTATCCCCCCCCTTTCTCTTGGCTGTCAAGGGCAGTCACCCGCCGTCGAATCCATCGGCCCCCTTGCCGAGCAGCATGTTGCCCGAAACAACCGATCTAATAGGCACAAGGCGTGGGTACAATACGCGGGGTTTGTCAGAGTTGAAGTTCTGCCAAGTTCACCATAACCTTGGTGTAAAGTTGCACTGGCGGTCACATGATGAGAGCGACACCGAAACTGTGATACGCCTCCCTGCGCGGATCGCGTGGCCCCCAGGGATGGATAAAACTCGACACCGAGCTGTGTTGCAAAGCAAGGTGGAAACCCCACCAGCCCGGCAGGGGGCTCTGTTGTGCAAGGGCTGTCAAGCGGTCAATGCGGACTACACATGGTCAAAGTGACTTTCGTCGCATGGTCATGAAGTGCTGATCTCGGTGCCCAACCGCTACCACGGACGGGGTTTCCGACCACCATTGCTGTTAGGCGACAGGACAATGCCTCCCTTAAATGGTGAGCCCCTGAATGCATCGTATCACGCATACTGAGTCTTGTCGCCGTGTGCAAAATGTCCTCCTTGAGTATACTCCCAGCAGGCTCTAATACGAAATGGAAGGGGGCTCTCCCTTGGATTGGAGTGCTGGTGCAACTTGCTGTGTGCCTACCGCAGGCCCTGGGAGCCTACTCGTACCGTTGGGGTTCATGGGTCGTGGTATCCGTACTTCTTGTCATACCCCTTGTCGGAGCCAGCCCGACCTCCGCTTTCCCAGGCGAACAGAGCTCGGAGGGCGGATTACACGTCCCTCTTTCAGGTAGACCGCCTAGGGTGGTATTGAAGATCGATAATCTCCTAGGTGGCTTCAAAAGCCGCTGCCGAGGTGTTTTTCTCAGAAACTCTCCTGAAGCAAAGATAGGAGGACTTGCAACCTCATACCGGTGAAAGCAACGTGGGAGCTTGATTCTGTAGTCTTGATCGAGTACCCTGTGCTGCGGCTCGGATGAAAACTCAGCAACGTGCCGAGCTCTTCTGGCCGCCATCTTCAAGATCAACCTCTGTACCCAGGTCCTTTCATCGGTAGAATGCCGGAGTGAATCGACCAGCCAGGCATAGTGCCAAGCGAATCACCCACAGCCAAACCAGGAAAGGCAGACGCCTGCTCGAGCAAAGTGCTAGCGAGGTCGTCGCTGTAACCCCGAAGCAACCTTTGCCATGGCGTGTTGTTAGATTCCATGATCAGTTGGACCAGCTGTGGTCTTGGAAGCTCGATTGCCTGAATCTGATGATGTTACGTGTAAGCTCCATTATGCTTGCTGGTGTTTTACCAATGCCATGCGAGAAGTGGGTAAGGAATAAAGGCCTCTAGCCGCATCAAAGTTACAGCTACCATCAACGGAATGAGGTCTCCCGAGGGACGTCCGGAATGTACCATTTGAGAAGTAGTTCGGTGCAAGCTTGGTGACTAGTTAATGGGTGTGGCCAAAGTTTGCCTTATCATACAATGCTTGTCAGGCGCCGAAAAGTAAGTACGACAATTGGCCGATATTGTAAAACCGAACTGCAATGGGTATTGCCAATAGTGTCAGGTCCCCTAGGCTCGAGACTCGACAGTGGCCTGACGGGTAAGACTTTCTTCCGCCATCCGTGTACTACCAGTTCCTGGCTGTAATCGTAACTAACCGTGCTCGTGTGCGGAGCTGTATAAGGCTCAGCTTCATTTAACAACGGCGGTATATCCAAGTACCAAAGTGCATCCAATAAATGCCAGATATTGCAAGATTACTTGCTTCGAGAATCTGCTTTCCGTCCAAAAGGTGTGGTACAAAAACGGTCGACAAATGGCTGTGGCAACCAGCGGTTGGCGGGTACACCGTGGCGGGGGCGAACCATGTCAAGGTTTCATAACAAACACCTCTTTAGATTCGTCTGGCTCTGCGCCGTGATTGTACGACGCGATTGCTCTCGCACGAATACTTTACGACAAGGCGAGTGTTGTAGGAACGGTGCGGGGCTTGTAACAATACCATCGCTCGATGCGCGCCAGTGGACGTTGAGCAAATGAGTAAAGCAGGCCTCTATGAATGCTGGTGCGCAGATTCCCCACACTGTCATGAGATGGAACGAGTAAAGAGCCAGGAAGACTGGCTGCTAATCATGGGTAGCTGGGCTTGTCCATGCCAACAGAATGCCGTTTCGACAACCAACGTTGCCTCGAACCTATCATGGAAATGGGAATTGAGGCTGAGAAGCGGTTGATAAGCGAGCGTGGTCGGTAACGGTCGGTTAGGCTCGGCTTTGGATGGTACACATCGTCGTTGGTCGCGCCAAGGCCAAGGACGCATTGAGTACCATCAACCTTGCGGGCTGAGATATTGCTGCTCTGGATGCCAAGAGCAAACAATGCCATGTTCGATGCTGGCCAAAAGATGCATGACAACAATGGATGCCGAGTTGCCGTGGCACAGTCGGATCGCTCAATGAACATCCATTCCTTTTCCGGGCTGTTGGTAATGGCCAACATGAAAAGTACCCACGAGCAAACAAACGTCCAAGGAGCAGTCTGGGCACAGCAAAGTCCGAAGTGGGCCTATGCGTCTTCGAAATCGGTCAATTTCCGTCGCTTGGATGCTCTTTTCCAAGACCCGAGGTCAACGAAGCCAATAGCTGGTGGGTGCCGGCTCGAGTAGTCAGTTGGGGGCGGGCTCGGCGGATTGACGGCAGTGCGTGATACTGATTTGGGGTCGGCCTCGGAGGGTATTTCTAGACCCTCGGTAAATACCATATCTCCCTTGCTTCCCAGTACATCTTTGCCAGCTTCCTCTAGAAGAATACCAAAGGCCAGCAGAGCCGATTCGTCCATGCTCCTCTCGTCAATATTTCGAGCGCCGACTTGGTACGAGGGGTTGCGCTTGGGGCCACCCAGAGTAGAATAGAAATGGCTGGCATAGAAATGGACAGACTTGAGTAGGTCAGAGTCTGGCAAAGATGCACGACCGGAATCCAGCAGGTTCCGTTCGTGTGACATGTAGACATCGAACTCGGCAAAGCGCTCGGGCGCGGCCTTACGGCGAAACAAAACCTCTTCTGGGGCCAGGGCAGAAGCGTTGATAGGGTGTCTGCTCAGCTTGGGTGGTTTAGGACTGGTATTGGGCGGCCTCTCACCCCTGGCGGCGACATCCAACTTGCTCTCAAACGTAATTCGACCTATCCCCCGGTTAACAAATTGATCAAACAGCAAGCGAAAATTAATTTCGTCAAGGGCTTACCCGCGACGGCATCGTAGACATTGGCATGCCGTTGTGAGCGCTTGGTTTCTTCCGCCGGAGACTGAACAGGTTCCAGACCACTGGTGTCAGCCCGAAGTTCCATTCCTGGATCCTTGTATGGCCTTTGCAAGTCCATTCTGATTGTGGTTAATCAAATCGAAAGGAAGTAAATAGATCCGGCAGGCCGACCGGATGCCGATGAGACGAATATGCGGAAACGCTGGACAATGATGGATGCTTGAATAATGATGGCCTGAGGTGCCTGAGGTGTATGCCTGACGTTGACGTTGACCGACGTTGAATGAGTGAGGCCCTCTTCGTGCCTTCCTTTGAAGTTTGGGCATTGGGCAGGAACAGTTGACGGAAGTTTTGGTAAGTGTGGGTCCATAAGCACAGGTGTGGCCAATGACAGGTGCTTACACCTGGGGGGCCAGGGGCTTGTTAATGGCCATAGGGAAACGACCGGTCTACGTACCTATCCTACCTGCCTTTGTTCGGCATCGGAAGCCGCTGACATCATCACGAATTCATTTTGGTGATAGCCAACCTCGGACTGTCAACTCGGACATCAACGGTCTCGAGACCCATCCAAGCCAGCTTTTTCTCCTGTGGTCCTCATATCCGACTGCACCAGATGAATGCAGGCCCGTCTGTTTGCCCGCTCCACCGGTGAGCTCAGCCCGGATGGCTTCGCGCGAGCCACGACGTCGGAGCTCGTCCGGTCTTTCACCGCTGCCCCCCACCACCGATTTGATGGCGAGGGCGCCGAGTTGGAAGAAGAAGGCCGCTACGTGCAAATCTGGGCTCATCGAGCCGGCGTCAATGCCCTGGCTCTGGATAAGTTCGATGGCCGCCTGTAAGACTCCTTGTTCCTCGGTCATGTCGAAGCTTTGTCGTCTGACACCACACTATTCGATGGCAGCCTTCTTTCCGGCGGTGCGGATGGTTCGGTGAAGTTGTGGGATCTCCACCAGGAGGGCAATGCGCGAGCATCCCGCATTCTCCAGCCCGTCGCCAGTGTTGCCCGCTCCGTTGGAGGCGAGACTAACGCCCACAAGCACGGCATCACCCATCTTGACTTTTACCCTTTTGACTCCGAGGCCTTTCTATCTAGCTCGTTCGACCGTTCGCTCAAGCTATGGTCTACTCAACGGATGGCCGTATCGGCCAGCTTTGACCTGAACGCCAACATATACACCCATGCAACCAGTCCCATCGCCAATCACCTCCTGGTCGCCTGCGCAACCCAGCATTCTTCTGTTCGCCTGGTAGACCTCAAATCCGGATCTGCCGTCCAATCTCTTGTCGCCCACGGAGGTGCCGTTCTTTCCGCAGCTTGGAGCCCCCGTCACGAGCATACCCTTGCCACCGGCCACGTTGATGGAAGGGTGCGGGTCTGGGACCTCCGCCGCGCCGGAGGCTTGGTCGGGCAGCTCGATCAAGAAGACAGTCTCGGTGTTATTCACCGTTTCGACCACGCCATGGCCTCTGGATTAGACTGGAACCGCACCCCCCATTTCCGCAGCTCAGCACGCGCACATAATGAGGGTGTCAACGGCTTGACCTGGACTGACGACGGCAATTACATCATATCAGCCGGCCTGGATCGTCGGATCCGAGTATGGGATGCTGCTACTGGCGCGAATACGCTAGCCAGCTTCGGCTCCATCATACAGAACCGACAACCCAAGACTGTGAGTTTGTTTGTCACGCCTGCCCGGCTGACACCCACACGTCGGGATCTCCTATTTTACCCCAACGAGCAAGAGATACTGGTCATGGACCTGCACGAAGGCACTCTCTTGTCCCGCTTGCGGGTGCCTGGGCCGTCCGGGGTGGCCGGAAGTCAGGGCAGCAGCGGCCTGAATGTGAAGAACCGGACAATGAGCATGGTATGGCGTGGCAGCGGTGGCCATGGGCTTCAAAAGGGCACCGTGATGGGAGGTGGAAGTTCCTTTGGTGCAGTTTACACGGCCCACCTGGACGGCCAAGTACGTTCCTGGATGCCTCAACTGCCTGGGGACGAGGATGATGACGCAGACCCTGATCCACAAGATGCGGACGAAGAGGAAAAAGCACGCAAGCGCAAGGCCCTCGATGACGCTTTCAGGAGTTTGATGCGACGACAAGTCACATTCAATTGATAACACCCAATCTGCCCTTACGCAATCTCGATGCTTGGCCTCTTATCAATACCCTTTTTTTCCGGAATGGAGACACAACCCCAAGTCCGTGTAGGGAGGGCAGTAGCAATTTCAAGCCCTCGACGGAATCATCCTCCGCCAGAAAGACCCCTTGGCGGAGATCTTTGCATGAGAGACCGGGGGTTTGCTGTCCTTGGCCCTGCTAGTCGCCATCTACCAGGCCTCCTGCCGCTCATCCTTGCAAAACTTGTTGCGACCTGGTGTAAAACCGCAACTTCGTACGTACGCAATGCCGGAGGGAGGAGACGCTCGCCGAGCTCGCCGAGCCGTTCGACTTGCCGAGCCGTCAATATGGCTTCCATCAGCAGTGTGAGCGTATCGCGGCCATATCTCGTTCGTCCCATGCATTGGTTGCCTCCTGCTCGCCGATCAATACATTGTCCGCCACAGCTATCTCCATAGCGCCGTCACATCGGCAGGACGACTTAGAACTGGTCTCCCTTGGCTTCCATCGCCATTTTCCTTCCTCGGCTCGCCCAGCACCGTAGCTCGCGAACCCCTTACCGCCAGCATACGAGTAGGGTG